TTTTTGGCTGTCATTCAGTAATTTTAACAGTTCCCCCCCCCCCCGATCCTTCTTGATGCTTAAGGGATGTTAGTCAAAAGCCCTTTGAGGAACAGAAGGGATGCAAATATTTTAAATCGAGAAATGGGAGAGTCTCAGGTCATGACAGGTGCAGATTTGCCACACACAAGTTTGAACTGCCATTAAAAATTGTTTCTGGAATCCAGAATTACGACAAGTGAACGGGCTGAGAAAGGGGGAACAGAATGTTGTTCTGAATTTTTCAGGAAAACTCTCTCGCAGCAGATGTTGGACTAGATGAGCATCCAGATGTGATAAGACTGTTGGACATAATTCATGGGGTAGTTCATTGCCTCCCCCCCCTTATCCAGGCATGGTGGAAACGGACGGACGCATTGCTAGCGCATGGCACTCGTGCCCATTGTGTTGTATTCTCGAAGGACATCCTTCTGCTTGTTCATCGAATCGTTATGCAGCGCTTCTGCATAACACCGCGAGCCTTAGGCGATATAACCTTTTTGCCCATTCTGATTAGCCACAGCATGTCTGCCAAGGGGAGAAATGAATATTAAAAGGGCCTGAAAAAAAGTTCAGCTCCGACCCTTCCGTTTTTGCAAAGGCAGCTGTTATGGCCTTTTGGTGATAACCACTGAGCTCTCTTCTTGTTCTTACTGGGGCCAATTAACAATATCATAGCCAGTTATTCCTCCAATTATCCCTACGAATCTGAATCGACTGAGTGTTCATTTCGGGCTGATGGTGTCTGAAAGCAATGGCCTGTATCCAGTCACCCAGTTCCAAAGACTCCAGGGCGTGATCAGATCTACTGTTCTCACTTATCTGGGAGTAAGCCCCAGTGAAGGAGGCAAAACTCCCTTCAGGGCTGCGGCTCAGGGGCAGAACATCTGCTTTGCATGCAGAAGGTCCCTGGCTTACAAGATTATGCATGGGAAAAGAGGTACTTTTCTCCCTTTCTCACGATACAAGAACTCGTGGGCACTCAATGAAATTGCTGAGCGGTCGGGTTAGAACAGATAAAAGGAAGTACTTCTTCACCCAAAGAGTGATTAACACTTGGAATTCACTGCCACAGGAAGTGGTGGCGGCTACAAGCACGGACGGCTTCAAAAGGGAATTAGATAAGCATATGGAGCAGAGGTCCATGAGTGGCTATTAGCCACAAGGTATAGATAGGGACTCTGGGGCAAGTGATGCTCTGTCTAGAGTGTCACCCCTGACATTGGCAATGTGATGATGTTACTTTCATGGCAGAAGATCCCGGAAAGGACCAGGGACCCCCCCGCCATCTGCCAGGTAGGACCCAGCAACCCTAGTTCAATCCCTGGCATCTCCAGTTAAAAGGACCAGGCAGTAGATGATGTGAAAGAGCTCTGCCTGAGGCTCTGGAGAGCCGCTACCAAAGCAGACAGTACTGACTTTGATGGACTGATAGTCTGATTCAGTATTAGGCGCGTCATGTAACATGTGTAACATAAGATTGGGCTCCGAAGCAGCAATATTTTCTGCACTTACTCGAGAGTTAGTCTCATTGAACAAAGCGGGACTTACTTCTGAGGAGGCATGCGTTAGTGAACTAGATCTTTTCTTCAAACATGTATTCCTTTGGTGTTTCCAATAAACACAATTTTAGGATCCCCGCCCATCTGCTTACATTTTATTCTGTCTCCGCAGAGTTCTTTTGGCGCTTTGATCATCACAATGTGATTTATTTTTTAAAATGCAGCTTTCTCAAATTATCAGCCACTTACAACCTTGCTTAATATGTCACTTCACTGGGAAGGTAATCAAGAGATGAAAGAAGGCAAGTGACTTTTGTGTAAAACTCAAGTTCCATATGTAAGTTAACAAAAACGAAGAGAACAAAAAGAAAAAAAACTGGAAAAGCTGTGTTATGTCGGATCATCTCTCAAATTATGCAAGCACGGGTGTTTTATATTATTATTATTATTATTTTCAGTCAACAAATTAATTTTCGCTGGGAACACAGCTCCAAATTGGTTTCCAGTCTGGCTACAACCCATCATACAATTACACCCATAAATAAACTTGGTAATTATATTACGGAATGTGCTTGATCAAAGGTTGTTAACCAGGTTTGCGTTTCCCAAGGTTGTAGCTGATCACACTCTAACGCAGAGCGGGGACTTCTACAGATTAAGATGATGAGTCTATGATATTCAGCTCTAGTCTAAGCAAACCATTGTGCGTGTGCATTTAAATGGTATTAACTAAATAATTCAATAGGGAATAACACCCTCCCCAATACATTCTGTCTTCAAATTCCATGTCTCGTAATTTAAATTCCAAGTATGGATAGCACATCCTTTAGAGTTCCTTCAGGTACTGAATAATGCAATCAGGGGTTGAGTATTGCTGCAGGTATATCAGATAAGCATATAAAGGGATGGTACCAAAATAGTTGTTGGGGAGCCCATGTGAGGCTGTAATTCTGTGCTTCTACACCAGACTTCTGATTGTAAAATTAGAGGTTGTATCCAACTTAGTTTTCTGCAGGTGGAAAATAGAAGGGTTCCCTCTGACACCCCTAGGGATCCCAAGTCCCCCCGGGGGGCGGGGAAGCCTGTTCCCCGGCGGCGCCGGATCGGGCCCCGGGGGGGAACTCCACCCCGACATGCGCGTCACCCGGAAGTGACGCGGGCACGCTGGGGGCGGGGCCACGGCCATACAAGGGAAAACTCTATGGTTTTCCCTTGTATGGCCGTGGCGCCGCCCCCAGCGTGCCTGCCGTCCTCCCGTCACTTCCGGGTGACGTGCGTGCGGCGCGCGCTTCGTGTGTGCGCGCACAAGACGCCGGCCGGGAGCCCCCTGCTCCTGGCAAAGATAGACTTGGCAACCCTAGACACCCCTCCCCCCCGAAAAAGCTATGCTGGCAGGTTAACAACCTCCAGGTTGGGTCTGCAGGTCTTCCAGAATTAAAACTGATCTCCAGACTACAGTTCCCCTGGAGAAAATGGCTACCTCTTCCACTGAACTGGAAGGCCAAGCTACAGTTTCTATCAATTCTAGCGATTCTGTTACGTTCCAAACCTGTCAGCTGCCCAAGGAACGATGCACGCCATTAACTGCGCAGAAAACAAAATATACCGGAAATACTGTTCAGCTTAAATGGTGAACAAATGCGCAATATGGGCATCTGGGATGACTGACCTGAAAGAAAATGGGCATTGCGCGAAATCACCTTTGAAACTCGTTATTTGCAAGGACCACAGCATCACTAAGTCAGAACCGCTGCCACTGAAATATTTTTATTTTTCTCATGCCGATACAGCAGCTGCAGAACACCACCTAGTGGTGCTATGCAGATTGTAAAATTAAATAATTTCAAAATACTTTTTGCATTCCTTTACGATACTGGACACACATGGGAAGACTGTCTTTCGGCATTATCCGGAGGGAGCCTTTGGGAGGCAGGGAGTGATGCCACACAACGGCACTTCCGGTGAACACTCAGAAATGACAGCATGGAACTCAAGGGATTTGTTCATCTATGAACCATAGAGACATATGAATTCCTAGAGCATTGTGACATCATTTCTAGGAACAAGCTGGAAGTAGTGTCATGCGTTAGCACATGACGTCACTCCCTACCTTTTTCCCCCACTGAAGCTTGGAGCTACTCTATGTTGCAGTGTTTCCCTTTTCCTTGCCCTTGAACATGTTATCGCTGGGCACACTTCTCTGATTTTGAGAGCCAGTGGGGTGCAGTGGCTAAAGTATCAGATTTGGGAGATCTAGGTTTTTTTATTCCCACTCAGCCATTGAAGCCTTCTGAGTGATCCTGGGACAATTAAACACTCACACCTTCCTCACAGGGTTGTTGCGAGGATAAAAATGGAGTAGGGCTGCCAACCTCCAGGTGGTGGCTGGAGATCTCCTGGGATTACAATTGATCTCCAGGCAATAGAGATCAGTTCCCCTGGAGAAGATGGCTGCTTTGAAGGGTGGAGGCTGGCAACCCAAGAATGGCCCTTGACCTTCTTGGGTACTGCCGGGTGGTGAGTGAAGGTCCAATGATGTGGGACCTTAAACAGAAGCAAAACTGGGCTTTGTTATAATATTGATTTTACATTTGCATCCTATTTTAAATTCATGAGTGACAACAGTGTCTATAATGTGACAATGACACCTTCAGTCTTGCTTAGCCGACATCCAATAATCCATGGCAGGGCACGGTAGGTGAGCCAAAGAATGAATGAATGGCACTTTAAAAGAAATCACAGGCTTTCAATATATAGCAGTGAGGCAATATCCCATCTCTTCTTCTGGGGTGGCACTTGGTGAAACTCTTCCATGTGGGGAGCAGCATCCCTGAAGGAACGCAGCAAGCCTGTCTCGAATTTTTCCTGGCTGCTGAGAGGTGCTGGAAGGAAATGGCCGCTTCAGAGGCCAGAGTCTATGGTATACCATAGAGTCCCAGAGAAACCGAAGTCCTAGAGAGACACCACAGCTCCTCCTCATCGTCAATTTGTCACACCAGAGTTGTGAACTACACACAGCACTTGCACGGTAAAATAAATTTTAAAAATAATAAATTTAAAAATAATAATAATAATAAAAAAGAACAACCAAACGCTAGCAAGAGTCCCTTGAATGGTCACGTGGGCTCTGCCCCGCCCTCTTCGCAATACTCTCGCCTCCAACTTTTCCATTGGCGAGGCTCCATGTCTGCTACTGGTTCCTCCCCGCCATCAATTGGTCATTGCTCATGTCAATCAATCTCTAGCACCTGTCTCTGCCTTTCCCCGCCCCATCCAATCGTGCCGCTGAGAGTATCCAATCATGAGCCGGCGCTGGGTATTGAGGCGTCGCTTAGCAACAAGGGGGCGGCCTTCACTAAGGACGAGCGGCGTCGATAGGCTGGCGTGAAGTCACACAAGGACGGCGGCGGGCAGGGCCTGGTGTGCGATTGGCCGACACGTTGGCCAATAGAAGAGTACTCGGCCTCTGCCGAACGGAGCCCCAGTCGAGCGAAGGAGACGGGGCCAGATGGGCACGACCATGGAGGAGGGGCGGCGAGGAGGGTGAGCCGAGGGGGCGGGGAAAGGGGGGGGGGTCGATCACCTGGCCACGGACGCGCTGCACCAATAGGCGGTGGGAAGAAGTGAGGCGTCAAAAGCGCGCATGCGCGACAGGGGCCGCTAACTTCATCTACGGTGGCTGGCCAGGGCCAGCTCCTCCACCCCTCCCTTCCCATCTCAGGAACGCGTTTGGTGGAGCTGACAGCCCGGCCTGCGCTGGAGGCTCTCCGCGGTGGAGGCTGCAGGTCTGTTTCGGGGCTGCGGGGAAATGGAGGGAGGGAGGCTGGCTGAAGAGGGTGTTGCATTGCAGCTTTGCACCTGTGAAGGCAACGGCTGCACAGGCAGAAGTTCGGCAGGTGGAGCTTGCTTTCCTTGTTTCCCGAGGCGGGGCGTGGCAGGCAGCTGTCCCTGCTGAATTGCTGTCGGTCCCCAGGAGCGGGGCCAGGCCTTCGGTTTGTTCGAGCTGCTTCCACTGCACCTTCGGCTTTCCACCAGCAGCTTGGCAGGCAGAAGTCCAACAGGGAGGAGTTTTTTTTTACCCTTGCGAGGAGGGAAAGTGAGAACAGACAGCCACACTTGTTGATTTCCTGCAACACACACACACACAGTGGCCCTGCTGCCTGACAAGCTGGAGTCCAGCAGGTGTGGCTTCTCCCCCCCCCCCATGGCAAAAAATACTTCACCTGCTAAATGGCTGCCTGCCAAGTTGCGGGTTCAAAGGCACAGGGGTAGAACCACGTTGTCTTCTGTGTTCAAAGGAATGGGGTGGCTTGACTTGTGTCTTGTGCTTTGTAAAGGAGCGGCTGGACAATTTGGGGTGGGTGCCTTCTGCCATTGCAATATATTCTGACTTGGAAAAGCATACTGGCAGAGCTCCGTAAAATCGATCAAAAAGAGCTTTGCATGTAGGAAGGCTAATGAGAAAGGGGTGTGTGAGAGAAAGAACGACACACACACACCCCGGGACTTGAAGGACAGAGGTGTGATGTGCATGTGTCTTTTCCCTAGGGGACTCAGCGTGGTCTAATGGTGGAAGTGTTGAAGTAGGAACCGAGAGACCCGAGTTCAGGTCATCACTTTGCCATGAAACTCACTGGGATGACCCTCGGGCTTGCATTCAGCCAAAGGTCCCTCCCAGGGTTCATTTGAGGATAAACCGGAGACCCATGTGCACTGCTCTTATTTCCTTGGAAGAAAGCCAGGCTAAAAATAGGGACGGGAGTTAGTTGGAAGAGGTGCTTCCTTTAGCTGCGGATAGAGCACAGGTGTAGGACATCTGGCAGGTAAGTAAGGGAAGGCCAATGAAGAGCTGACATTGTAACGGGAGGTCCACTTTTGTGAAATGGAGGTTGGGGTTTTGCTGTGGTGAGTCAGAAGCTTTTTGCTCAGGGAAGAGAGAAGAGGGGAGTTGATCTGAGGATTGTGGGGGCAGGAAAACTCAGGGAAGGGCCCGTTTAGTTGATAGTGGGAGGCGCTGAGTTTCCTGAAGGAAAGGTAGATGGTAAACTAGTGCCTTTTCAATATTGTTGGGTTGGGGGGAAGCTACTGAAGAAAGCCGTGTCCTTTGGCTGCGGGTTTGGGGGAAATAAGGGAGTCAGGTGTGAACAATGAGTATCATCCATTGCCTGAGCATGAGACTGAGAGTCACTGAAGTGTAGCAGTCCTACTATTGGTATTAGGACCAGAAAGGTTGGGTTCAACCTCCCCTTGCCTCACCCGGAAGCTCGCTGGGTGAACTTTGGCCTATTATTCTCATCTGAACTTGTTGGGAGGCGGAAGGAGAACTCTGTGTCCTGAGCTCCTTGGAAGATAGGGTTTGAATTTTTTTTAAAGGGTGCTTGTCACATCAATTGCACACAGAGAACTTCATTTGGCATGGGTGGTCTCTGTTTAACAAAGGATCTTGTGCTGAAGCACAGATATATTCGAAGTTCACCGTCTGATCCACAGTGGAATTATTGTTGTCCTTTCTAACAGAAGCTCTTGTACATGCTGTGCCTTGGTGTGTCGTGCTGGTCTCGGTTGGCATTTTTTCCTCAGGCGTGTGGTTTCTCGATGAGCAGGGATGCATGGCATCTCTTCCAGTCGTGCACTGATGTGGTGACTAAGCCCTCTGGACTCTTAGGCTTTAGACATCCATCATGAGAACTGGTGCAGGTCCTGACGGCAAGGTTCTTCTTGCTATATACGTCATCAAGGGGTTCTTAGCCCAGAGAGTGCTTTTATAGATGGCACAAATTTGTTTTTTGTGGGGCCGCTGCTAAGCTGGAATAGCTTGCACAGGGAGTGGCCGGTTAGAGACATGTCTCTCTCGGTAGATGATCGTAAGATAGCTTATCTCCACAATGGGCAAGGTATGTTTGCAGCCAGGCTATACCCTGGCGCTTTAGTTTCTACACTTGTTTAAAGAAACGCTCTGTCTTCTTTTTTGTCTGCTTCTGAACTGTCCGCCCTGTTTTCAATTCCCTTTGAGGTTTGTCTGAGCTTTCTGATCTGCCTGCTGTTTCCTCTAGCCCATTTTAGCTCTCTGCAAAGGATAAGAAGTTTAATGTGCCCGGGTAGTTTTTGATGGAAAGATCGGAAGGCGGAGGCATGAAAACACCCAGCGATTGGTGTGAGAAGTGTTGCTGTAGGAAGTGATTAAGAAGGTGTGTCGGCGTTGTTTAGTTGCGGCGTCAACAGACGAGTCTAACCAGTTGATGTTCTTTGACTGGCCTGTTTTTACGTTGCGTGCTCGGGAGGTGAGCTCATGTCTCCTGATGATGGTACCGCATACGGAACGCTTGCAGAGAGAGAGGGGTTGGACAAAGGGTTTGAGTAACCAAGTTCTTTTTTTTTTGTACAAAACTTTTATTTTTTGGATATAATATCACATTTAACATTGGCTTTCACTTATCCAATACCCATATTTCCCTTTCCCCCCTCCCTTGCTAGTGGCTTCCTGCAGTGCTCGACCCTTTTTCCCTTTACATTACTTATATTTGCTTAAACATTTTAAATTCTATTACAAGATAACATTTCTATCAATATTGTTCTAAATACAATAAATTGTGTTTAACGTCCCAGTTTTCCTCTAGATAGTCTTTAAAGTCTTTCCAGTCTTCAAAAAATTCTTGATCTTCTTTGGAGTAACCAAGTTCTGATGCTGGGTGTGTCTTCTGTCAATGGTGGTTGTCGCCCTGTGTGCACTCCACTGACGTAAATGACTTCTGTACCTCACAATCGCTTCCTGCCTCTGTGTCCGGCTGTGCTCGTGGACTCCCCGTGTTCTTCGCAAATTGTGCTGGGCCTTTAAGAGACCCGGTGTAGGGCAGTGGTTAGCGTGTTGGACTAGGAGACCCAAGTTAAGAATCCCCACTCCACCCCACAAGCTTGGTGGGTGACTCTGGGCCATTTGCACATCCTCAGCCTCTCAGGGTTGGTGCCAAGGTAAAATAGAGGAGAGCAACCTTAAGCTGCTTCAGGTTCCAAATGAGCAGGAAGGCAAGGTAGAAATGAAGTAAAATAAAAGGTAGGGTGGTTTTGTTTTTTTGTCATTCAGCTATATGTTTGCATCACAGACGTGAGACGCCGCTCCTGCCCGGCATGGCCTGTGGCAGGCACAATGTTGGCACAGAAGCCTTTGAGCAGCCATGCGCCTCTTTGCAGGCTTAACCAATTGTGGGTAGCGTTGGACTAAGACCGGGAGACCTGTGTTCAAATTCCACACTGGGTCACTAAGTTCCCTCAGAATAGTTAGGCCTGTGGGAGAACGGGTTAACGGTCCTTCTGTAAACAAGATGGCTCTCTGGACGTCAGAGGGTCTGTTTCTGGGATGTTCCAGGGCTTGTCAGCATCCCTGCGCACAGCTGAATTTCCCATTGTGGAAGAGACTGCTGAATAATAAAGCCTGACGCATGCAGATTAACACACGAGAGTAGGCTGGAATGGGGACGATTCAGCTTCCCCTCGGAGGCACCGCCTGCTTTCGTTCTAGTTTGGGGAGAAAGCCGTTATGAACTCTTGTGATATGATTCTAGGTAGCAGGGACATGTGCACTGCAAAGACACTTACGTGGGCTGTGTTTCTTTCTTCGCAAGCCGTGCTTATGTTGCTTTTGAGGATGTGCGGGGACTGGGAATAGGTTCCCTGGGGTTGACAACTCTAGGTTGGGGACCTGGGAATTTGGGGAATAGCCGGGGGAGGGACCTCACTGGTATATAATGCCATACAGTCCCTCCTTCAAAGCAGCCATTTTCTCCAGGGGAATTGATCTGTGTGTTCTGGGCTGGAGATCAGTTGTAATTCCAGGGATCGCCAGGCAGCATCTGGAGGTTGGCAACCGTAGGGTCCCCCAACATGGTGCCCGTGAGCCACCGTGGCGTGCCCCAGTACTTCCCGAGTGCCCGGAAGCTTTTCAGACAGTGGTCAGAACCATTGAAGAAGACAAGAGATTGGATTTGTACCCTGCCTTTCACTACCCGAAGGAGTCTCAGAGCGGCCCTCCCCACAACAGGCACCCTGTGAGGTAGGTGGGGCTCAGGGAGCTCTTTCGAGGACTGCTCCTGAGAGAAGAGTTCTTAGAGGACTTGTGACTGACCCAAGGTCACACCAGCAGCTGCATGTGGGGGGAGTGGGGAATCAAGACTAGATCTAATGGGTGGAAATCACAAGGGAGTCGTTACCGGCTAAATAGCAGGAGAAACTTCCTAACTGTCAGAGTGGTTGAGCAGTGGAACAGTCTGCTTCGGGAGGGGGTGGATGTTTTCCATCGGAGGCTGGGCAACCGTCTTTCGGGTATGTTGTAGGTATGTAGGACTGTCTTTTGGCTATGTCCCTGCAGAGTGCAGGGGGTTGGACTAGATGACCTGCAAGGTCCCTTCCATTCTATGATTCTATGAAACCCGATTCTCCCAGATTAGCGTCCGTGCTCCCAAGAAGTACACCAAACTGGTAAGACAGGGCTTGCCATTAGCTGCCCTTGGTCAAACAGAAGTGTTTTCCATGGCTGCAATAGCAGCTGCAGCCCCTGGAGGATCCGGAGGACTGGGAGGCACCTGGGCTTGAGGTTCCGGTCCCCCTTCAGGCTTTCCTTTTTTAAAAAGATCCCCCCACTTATCTTCCCCCCCCCTCCAAGCCTTCCCTTTGTTACTTTTTATTCACCTTCTGTGAGTTAGGAAGCAGCTACACTTGGCCTCTTCCAGCTGCCCTTTGGGGTTTGGTTCAGCCTCCCCTGGCTGCCATTTTTGGAAAGATGCTCACCACCCCCTCTCCAAATTCCGGCAGGCTCCAAAAGGTCAGGGACCACTGGGTCAGAAGCACGGTGGAGTTTTCCAGGCTGCTCACCAATACTCCCTCTAAGCTGTGTAGCCTTGTGAGCAAAAATCCTACATTGTGAGCTACTGGCATTAAAGTGGTGAGCAAGAGATTTGGCTACTGCATAGATTAGGTTGCTCTGGAGCCATCCTTCCTGAGCTAAGACAGAAATGTGTCTGCTGGAGGCTAAAAAACTCTGAGCTAGCTCACACTCACTCAGCTTAGAGGGAACACCGCTGCTCACCCATGCCTCGTTATTTTTCCCCAGCCCTTCTTTCCTGGAGGATTGTGTTTTGGCACCTGGGTTCCCCGACAATGTTGTTCCTTAAGAATACAGTTGTGTCGAGTCCCGGACGTGCTCCTGTGGCTTTTGGTGTATAGGCTGTGAGCTGTTTGCCCTTTGCTCTCACTGCTCACATTCCCCGAGATACGGGGAATGCCACATGCCGTAGATGCTTTAAAGCCATTTGGTGCAACGCTCCCTCTAAACTGTGGAGTCCTGCGAGCAAAAGTTCTACTTTGTGAGCGACTGGCATTCAAGTTGTGAGCGAGCGACGTAAATTAGTTTGCCCTGAGGCCATCCTTCCTGAGCTGAGACAAAAATGTGTGAGCCGGAGGCTAAAAAACTGCGAGCCAGCTCACACTAACTCAGCTTAGAGGGAACACTGGCTTTGTTGTTGTGGTTAAGCGCGGCGGACTCTAATCTGGAGAACCAGGTTTAATTCTCCACTCTCCCACATGTAGCCAGATGGGTAAGGTTGCTCCTGGCTCCTTGTCTGGATGTCCCCTCCCGAATGCTAGAGCATCGCCATGTGATGGCCCCAGTGTGATGATGTCACTACCGGTGATGTCATTGTGTTGGTGGCGTCCCCGCAGGACACTGTTTGGTGGTGCGATTTCCCCTGCCAGCCAATTGGCTGGCAGCAGTTTGGGGACCCTGAAATGGGGATCTCCTCCCCCGATGGCGGGGTGGCAACCCTACAGCTGGGTGACCTTGGGTCAGTCACAAGTTCGGTCAGAGCTGTTCTCTCAGGACCAGTTATCTCAGAGCTCTCTCAGCCCCACCTGCCTCACAGAGTGTCTGTTGCGGGGAGAGGAAGGGAAGGTGATTGTCAGCCACTCTGGGACTCCGAGTGAAGGGCGGGGTTTAAATCCTCCCCCCCTCCCCCCCAAGACAAACAGGGCACCATATTGATCAACTTCACCTTATGTTTCCAGAATAAGACCCACTGCAGAAAGCTGTTCAGTTGGGAGGCATAGAACTATTTACCTTCTCCTGGGAAGACACGTTATGAATACCTTCTGGAGCATGTCCACGAGTTCTGCGCGCAAGGTAGGGTATGAGCGGTTTGCCGAGGCTGAACACTTTTGACAAAGCAAATGTATTGGGTGAGTAAATTCCTGGGCCCGTCTTTAATAGATGCAAAGCAATGGAGTTAAATAATGCTTGTTGATAGAAGTCTCGGATCAGAAGCCGGTATTCCGCTATCCAGTCGAAAGCACAATGTGCATATGCGAGAGAGCGCCGTTGGTACCCTTGAAGTGTTTCAAGACTTAATGAGCAGTAGGCTTAGAACAGATTAAAGGAAGGACGTCTTTCCCCAAAGAGTAATTAACACGTGGAATTCACTGCCGCAACAAGTGATGGCGGCTACAAACACAGGCAGCTTCAAGAGGGGATTGGATAAACACATGGGGCAGAAGTCCGTCAGTGGCTGTTAGCCGCAAGAAACAAATGGAACGCTCTGTCTGGGGCAGTGATGCTTGGTATTTTTGGTGCTTGAGGGGCAACAGTGGGAGGACCTCTGGAGTTCTGGCCCTGTTGGTGGACCTCCTGGTGGCACCTGGGTTTCGGCCACTGTGTGACACAGGTCCTTTCCACACTAGGCCTTAAATCCTGGTTCAACCCTGTCCCCGAATTTACATTCTACACTACCCGCGAGTTCACCCCTGTAATTATCTCCGGGTATTTTTTTGTTTCCGCATTACATTGAGGTCACCCCAGTTTTGCCCCACACTTGTCCCGGGATAATCGGGTGCTGTTATAACCAGGGGAAAAGCAAGGTCTTGTGTCGTGAGTTGAACTCTGATAAAACCAGGGATGAGATCCAAGTATGGGACGTACCGCAGAGTATTGGACTGGATGGGCCACTGACCTAGCATGGCCTTTCTTATGTCCTGAAGACTGTTCCCTGCCTTGGAGAGGTTCTCCTGATACATGCTTTTTAGACGAAGACTTGCCCGAGAGAGAATTCCTGGTAGGATGACCAGCACCAGGTGGGGAAATCCCTGGAGATTTGGCGGGTGGAGCCTGGGGAGGAGTTTGAGGAGGGGAATATAAGAACATAAGAGATGCCAATGTTGGATCAGGCCAGAGGCCCATCCAGTCCAACACTCTGTCACACAGTGGCCAGAAATATCAGGTGCCATCAGGAGGTCCACCAGTGGGGCCAGGACATTAGAAGTCCTCCCACTGTTGGCCCCCCCAAGCCCAAGAAGGCAGAGCATCACTTGCCCCAGAGCCCCTATCTATACCTTGTGGCTAAGGGGAAGTTGCTCAGCATGGTATAATGCTGGGAAGCCCACCCTCCAAAGCACCTGTTTTCTTTAGGGGAACTGTTCTCTGAGGTCTGGAGGTAAGTTTTAATTCTGGGAGATCTCCATTCCCCACCTGGAGATTGGTAATCATAATTCCTGGCTGTGAAGAGTAGGGCAGCAGTTCAGAGGGAGTATCTGGCCTTGCGTGACGGGCTGACCTTGATCTCCAAGGCTGGCTCGGACACCTTGGCTGTGCCGGACCTCAGCCGATCCCACTGCTGCAATACAGCTAAATTCAGCAAAGCAGCCTGTCATGGCTCAGGTGGAGTGTCACCTGACGCTGCCACCACTCTGGTTCCAGGCTCCCTTGAGAAGGCCCAGAACACCCTCCCAAGACTGTTAGACCTCCCTTTTGGCCGAATAATAGGCATGAGGACCAGGCAGAGTGAACAATGAAAATAGTTTATTTTATAAGAGGTCAAACAAACAAGGTGCAGAATTATAACAGTAAGTGGGTGAAAAGAAATCAAATGCCCTAACGCATCTAAATAGATACTGTACCTAGCTTACTATTCCAAGTAACACTAGACTACTCACCCTTAGGATGAGGGTCTCTTCCCTGCAGCAGCCTTCCTTCTGGCTCTGCCCCCTGGGAAGAAGAACAGCTTTTCCTGCTGCTCCAGTTCTTTTATTCCAAGCCCTTTTCTTTTCCTATTGGTCAATTTTGGCTCCAAACCCTCTCAGGGGCTTCTAGGAGTTGTAGGCCCAGCCTCACCTACTGCTAGCCAGGTTCCCTGGGCCTAGTAGGCCTCTGGTGGCACAGCCCAGATCATGACACAGCCGGATACATTATAATAACTGTTAGAACTGGCAGAATTATTCTTTCCACATAAGAGCTCAGTTTGGTGCCTTAGCTGCGTGTGTGTGGTTATCTGGAGACTTCGTCATGACGTCCTGAAATCTGGCGTGAAAGTTTCCTCTTCCCTGTCCTGCGTTTCCTGATAGAGGCCTGAAACGGAAGACAAGGCCCTGGCCGGCGAGCCAAAGAACAGCCCTCCTCGCTCCGCTCCCAAGAAGCAGCTGCCGATGATTCCCAAGAACGCCGTGCCCGTGACCAAACCCGCCTCTCCCGCCCTTTCCGCTCAATCAACGAATGGAACGCACGCCTCTTACGGGCCTTTCTACTTGGAGTACTCGCTCCTGGCCGAATTGTACGTGTGTTGTGGGTACTCAAAATTGCTGTGCTGTCTTGCCTGCACTGTTTTGCCTACCGTCCGTGGTGTTTCTTAAAGGGGAAGGTTCTGTGTTCTGAATATTGTCTGGATCCGTTAGCGGTCTTTGCACCACTCGAGCTGGGGTGGTTTTCTCAGGGTCGATCTCTGCGGGTCCGGGAGGACGATACTTTGAGCAGCTGGAATCCTTCAAAGCGCTTTCCCCAATCCTGCCGAAATGCTATCTGAAACGTGACTGAAGAGAAGTAATGGACTAGCCCAGGGGGACTCCGATGGGGTGCTTGTGTCTAGTCTTCCCCCTAAGCTGACTTAGTGTGAGCCAGCTCACAGTTTTTTAGCCTCCAGCTCACACATCTTTGTCTGAGGAAGAGAAGAGATTGGATTTATACCCCGCCCTTCTTTACCCAAAGGTGTCTCAGAGCGGGTTACAATCTCCTTTCCCTTCCCCTCCCCACAACAGACACCCTGTGAGGTAGGTGGGGCTCAGAGAGCTCTGACAGAAACTGCTCTTTTTCAAGGACAGCTCTTATCAGAACTACGGTTTGCCCAAGGTCATCCAGCCAGGTGCAAGTGGAGGAGTGGGGAATCAAACCCGGTTCTCCTAGATTAGAGTCCGCGCACTTAACCACTACACCAAACTGGCTCCAGAGCAAACTAAACCATGCAGCAGCCAAACTGCTCGCTCACAGCTTTAATGCCTCCGGTGGCAGCCATTTTGTGCTGCGCCCGCCATCCCGTGTCAGAATTCCAAAGGTGCCTGCCATCTCCAAAAGTCTGAGGACCCCCGTGGGCCAGTAAATAATATTGCCACTGCGTTTCTCAGGATTAGAGGATGGTGATCGAATTTGCTCCCCATTTCTTACCAGAGCAGCTGGTACATGTATGAAAACTTTCTCGGGTCCCATCTCTCTGTAAAGGTTGAACTTTGGCCAAGACCTAGAATGAGGGGTGGGGCTATGCAAATGAAGAGGCGGGGCTCAACCCATGTGGAGTATACATTTTCCACCAATGCTTGCTCTGCAGGTGGCACTGTTGGCAGCGGTAGAAGAAGAAGAAGAGATTGGATTTATACCCCGCCCTTCACTACCCAAAGGTGTCTCAGAGCGGCTTACAAACTCCTTTCCCTTCCCCTCCCCACAACAGACACCCTGTGAGGTAGGTGGGGCTGAGAGAGCTCAGACAGAAACTGCTCTTTTTCAAGAACAGCTCTTATCAGAGCTACGGCTTGCCCAAGGTCATCCAGCAGCTGCAAGCAGAGGAGCGGGGAATCAAACCCGGTTCTCCCAAATTAGAGTCCACGCACTTAACCACTACACCAAACTGGCTCTCACAACCCTCCCATCGACTGGGCTCTGTGCAGTCAAAAACCGGCCTTTCCGCGTCAGCTAACCAAAAGCTTGTTTGTGAAAGCGTATTTGAGCCTCTCCGGCCTCTGGCGCCCCATGCTGCCACAGAATGGCTGGCTAAAATTCCATCTGTGAGAGCCATGGCGTCGAGAGGGAAGCACAACTCCATTGCCTGTTCTGGTTGTGTAATGTGCGCTCAAAGGCAATTTTTTTTTTTAAGTTGGAAGAAAATACATTATCGCCGAGGCAAGAGATGGTGTGAATGAACAAAGTTCTCACTTTGTTCCGTGCATCAGTTCTTGCTCTTTCTCTTTCTCTGCGGCTTCCTCCAGATTGCTGTAGTTTTTTTTTTCCGATCAGAAGCTTGCATTGCTGTGCAGACCCTTTTGGCCCAAACAGGAAATGAGGACACACACCGATACAGAGGCTGCTTTGTACCGCGTGGAGCCACTGGTCCGAAAAGGAGCAAGAGTCCAGGGGGTATCTGAGGACGTGAGCAGTGACGCACAAAAGCTCCTTCCCTGCCACAAATTTTGTTAAGTCTTTAAGGTGCTCCTGGACGCTTGCTGTTTTTACTGGCTACCCATCTTTGTCCGGGAAAAGGTCTTTCCCAGCTATCCGTGGTCCTCTGCACCGGAGATGCCACGAACCGAGTCTTGTAGGATGTTCTCAGCTGCTGAACCATCGTCCTTCTCTTTTCTCATAAGAGTGTTGGGAATACAAGCCCGATCTTGGAAGCTAAGCAAGGCCGATCCTGCTAAGTACGTGGAAGGGAGACCTCCAGGGAACACCAGAGTTGGGACGCAGAGGCAGGCAACAGCAAGCCATCTCCCTGAAATGTCCAAGTCCCACTTGGGATCGCCAGAAGTCAATCATGACTCCCAGACACATAGAGTCTCTCTCTCTCCCCCCCCCTCGCCCAGTTTGTGGTGAGAGCCAGTTTGGTGTAGTGGTTAAGTGCGCGGACTCTAATCTGGGAGAACCGGGTTTGATTCCCCACTCCTCCACTTGCACCTGGCTGGATGACCTTGGGCAAGCCGTAGTTCTGATAAGAGCTGTCCTTGAAAAAGAGCCGTTTCTGTCAAGAGCTCTCTCAGCCCCACCTACCTCACAGGGTGTCTGTTGTGGGGAGGGGAAGGGAAATGAGTTTGTCAGCCACTCTGAGACTCCGAGTGAAGGGCGGGGTATAAGTCCAACTCTTCTCCTCTCTCTCTCTCACCAAAAAAGGTGTTGGGAATGCATTTGTAGTTCTCTTTCCCCCACAAGCGAAATAGTTCTTTCTCTCATTGTTCGTGTTCTTTCCATCACTGTGGCCTCTTATCTCTTATATTCCTCCGCCTGTTTGCCTAGAGGGTCCTTAAAGCCCAATTGGTATTTCTGTTTCCCCGAGTGCAAAACGAGGCTCTTCGCTATCAGAGTGCCTTTTCATTGCTGTTGCAAGCGAGGCCACCGTCCACGTCTGACTGACCTTGTCTCGGCTTTCTCCATTGCTGGAAGGCCTTGGCCAGTGCTTCATGGCCAGCAGAGGGAAGTTTGCAATTCTGCCGTCAACTTCTAGATAAAAATATGCAGGCATATGACTCAGAGAGAAGATGCTATCTCTCAACCCCAGGTTAATAAAAAGGTAAAGGTTCCCTTGCTCGAAAGCCAGTCGAGTCCGACTCTAGGGTTGCGGTGCTCATCTCTGTTTCAAAGCCGAAGAGCCAGCGCTGTCCGAAGACATTTCTGTGGTCACGTGGCCGGCATGACTAAACACCAAGGTGCACGGAACGCCGTTACCTTCCCACCAAAGCGGTACCTATTTATCTACTTGCAATTTCTTGCTTTCGAACTGCTAGGTTGGCAGGAGCTGGAACTAGAGACGGGAGCTCAACAGTGTTCCCTCTAAGCTGAGTTAGTGTGAGCTATCTCACAGTTCTTTAGCCTCTGGCTCACACATTTTTGTCCTCGCTCAGGAAGGAGGGCTCCAGAGCAGACTAATTTATGCAGGAGCCAAATCGCTCGCTCACAACTTTAATGCCAGTAGCTCACAAAGTAGATTTCTGCTCACAAGACTCCACAGCTTAGAGGGAACATTGGAGCTCACTCCATCATGTGGCACATGGAACTTCTGAACCACCGAGCTTCTACAGCCTGCAGTTCAGCGTCTTAACCACTTGAGCCACCGCAGCTCCTTTTTAATACAAACTATATAATGTAATCCCTTGAAATAAAAGCACCGGGGGCTCTTACATGGAGGCTTTTCAGCCGGCTTGGGTCAGTGTGAGGGTGTCCGAGCCTTCTGGTGTGGGGAGAAGGGGGAGGAGATCCTTAGTTGTCAGCCAGATCGAAAGCCTAAATACAGCCTTTGAGAAAGCTGGAAAGCCACCTGTGCCTTTCCACAGAGGCATTTGTCATTCGCACCCCAATGAACCTGTCTCTGTTTTTGTGCAGCACTCTGGTTGTGAAACAGAAGCTACCAGGCGTCTACATCCAGCCTTCTTACCAATCAGCGTTAAGTAAGTTTGAGTATAACTTCTGGGGTTGTTTTTTTTGGGGGGGGGGGGGGGTTCCCCACTGAAAACCCCCCCCCCCCCCCCGATTGCACCCGCTCATAATTTCCTTTCTCCGTCTCCTGTCTGCCCCCAGTGTGGTTTGGCGTCATATTCATTCGGCACGGCCTGTATCAGGACGGTGTGTTTAAGTTTACAGTCTACATCCCTGACAACTACCCAGATGGTGACTGCCCGGTAAGTAAGGGCGGGCGAGGGCTGGGAAGCCTGGGCCTGGGTAGCCCAGGTGAGCCCGAGGTTGTTGGATCTGGGAAGCTAAGCAGGGTTGGCCCCGGTTAGTACTTGGGTGGGAGACCAGCAAGGAAGTCCAGGGTCCCTATGCAGAGGCAGGCCATGGCAAACCGCCTCTGTTTGTCTTTTGCCTTGAAAATCCCCGTGGGGTCGCCATAAGTCAGCTGTGACTCGACAACAAAAACAATCTGTCAAGACTTGGGTCCAGTGTTCCCTCTAAGCTGAGTTAGTGTGAGCTAGCTCACAGTTTTTTTAGCCTCTGGCTCACACATTTTTGTCTTTGCTCAGGGAGGGCGGCTCCAGAGCAAACTAAGTTATGCAGTAGCAGGGGTCATTTCATAGAAAAAGAGGTGCAGGAGCTCATTAGCATAACTCAGTAGCATAACTTATTTGCATATGCCACACCCCCTGACATCACCGGAAGTGTGTTGGAAGGCAACACCCACCGCTCAGGCTCCACAGGACTGTTTTGGTTTGCTAGCTGTTGGTGGGGGGCATGTGCAGATCTGTCCTGGCAGAGGAGGGAGAGCTTGTACCTGAATAAAACTTGGTCTTAAAGGTGCCACTGGACTGTTTTGGACCGGGGGGAGGGGGAGGCTCTGCGGCTTACCTGGCTGCGTCTTCCTCTGACTGAGGGCTGCTGGGAGCAGGGGGTGGGGCTTGTTGCATGTGCCCGCCCCCTGGGCTCTTTCCTGCCGGAGCTCCGCCCCTGTGCGCTCCGGCAGGAAATGACCCCTGTAGCCAAATCACTCGCTCACAACTTTGTCAGTAGCTCGCAAAGGAGAGTTTTTGCTCACAGGACTCCACAGCTTAGAGGGAGCATTGCTTAGGTCATCCTCTTACTTACTTGAGTGGTTTATGGTTGGTGGTCTATTTAAGTTACTGGACAGGACTTTGCTCACTAAGCCCAAGTGCAAGGACATGAACGCCGCTTTGGGGGGGTCCGGTCCCTCTGCTTGCTCTTAGTAGAAGATGGTTCCTTGTCCTTTTTTCTGGCAGTGAGTTCAGGCGCCTGCTAAGAAGAGACTTGTTCCAGTTCAGAGTCAGCTCGAAAGAGAGCGTCTGTTTCTTGGCATCGGCTCTCTTCTTCATGCTCAAGAGTCAAAATAGTCTAGCTGGGTATCGCTGTGACTCCTCCCCCCCCCCCCTTCTTGGAGTCTGTTCCTGACGGGCACCAAAGGGTGTGAGTCATGGAATAGAAGTAGTTGGAAGGCATGTCGTTCAATGGAAACATCGTATTGCTCAAAAAAAGGAGCACCTCTTGATACATGACAGGAGTCAAGTCCTCCATTCTGCCATGAGAACATAAGAAGAGCCCTGTTGGATCAGAGCAGGGGTCCGTCTAGTAGAGATGTAAAATTTCCGGAAATGTTGAAGCTCGGAAAAAACCCGTTTTTTCCCCCCAGTTTTTTCCGGGGGGAAACGGACATTTTCGGAAAAATTGAAAAAAATGCTACATTAGCACTTCTTTTGTCTTTTCCAGATTGGAAGTCATTCTGTTACTTTAGGAACATAAAATATGACTATGGACATTTTTGCTTGGCACGAAATGATCACAACTAGCATATTAAAAATATAGTGTACCCAGACAGTTATTACAAACAGAATACCCGCCCACATGCAAAAACAAAACTGAAACCTTTTTCTTTTCTCGTGACAATAGCACCTCCTAAAGGAAGAAATGCATCTTGTTCTTGCATGGGAGAGTTCAGTTTGTAACCTAGGACTTGCTTGTCCTCAGTGCACAGAAATTAGATCAATCTGATACCATATATATATATATTAGAAATGATTTGGAAAATATTTGAACACCTTGTCTTAACCCGAATTTTTCCAGTTTTTTTCTGGGCCTTCACATTTCTAATCCTGACTCACACAGTGGCCAGCCAGTTCCTCGGGAGGGCCAACAACAGGGCAGAGAGGCCGAGGCCTTCGTAAGAATGCAAGAAGGGCCCTGCTGGATCAGACCAGGGGTCCATCTAGTCCAGCACCCTGTTCATGATTCTATTTTTGGCGGTCTGGCCCCTGTGTGAGCTCAGCTTTACCTGGATTCTAACATTCCTCTCTTTCCACCCCGTTCAGCGCTTGGTCTTCGACCTGCCCATCTTCCACCCGCTCGTCGATCCCATCTCGGGTGAACTGGACGTGAAAAGAGCCTTTGCCAAGTGGAGGTCAGTGGGACGTGCCGGGAGCCCTGATCTGGAAGCGGGGGCTTTGTCAGGATGGCCCGCTAACGCTGTTTTTCTTGTGCTTCTCCTCCCTAAAGGCGGAACCATAACCACATATGGCAAATCCTGATGTACGCCCGCAGAGTTTTTTATAAGATCGACACTACCAGCCCTCTGAATCCTGAAGCTGCTGTGCTGTAAGTTTCCAGTTGGGACGGCCCAGGCTAGCTTGACCTCATCAGGTCATAGAAGCTTAAGCAGCATTGGCCGTGGTTGGTACACGGATTCAGTCTTCCCTCTAAGCTGAGTCAGTGTGAGCTAGCTCACAGTTGTTCAGCCTCCGGCTCACACAGTTTTGTCCCGGCTCAGGAAGGATGTGGCTCCAGAGCAAACCAATTTATGCAGGAGAATTTTTGCTCACGAGACTCCGCAGCTTAGAGGGAACATTGCTTGGATCAGTACAAAGTTTGCAGTCTGCATCCCTGACAACGTTCCAGATGGTGGATTAGTGGTTAGCAGAGGCGGGCAGCGGCAAATCACCTCTGCACGTCTCTTGAGAACCCCATGTGGTTGCCGTACATCAGCTGCATCTTGACGGCACTTTCCACTACTAATGCTACTCTAGTCTGGGAGAACCGGGTTTGATTCCCCACTCCTCCACTTGCACCTGGTGATGTGACCTTGGGTCAGTCACAAGCTCTGGCACAGCTATCCTTGAAAAAGAGCAGTTGCTGAGAGAACTCTCAGCCCCACCCACCTCACAGGATGTCCTGTTGTGGGGTGGGGAAGGGAAAGGAGTTTGTAAGCCGCTCTGAGACTCCAAGTGAAGGGCGGGGTATAAATCCAATCTCTTCTTCTTCTTCTACCTGTATGCGCTTTATTCCAGAGGGTAGCGGTGGTGGCCTGCAGTGGAAGAGCTAGATTTGAGCGCCTTAGAGACCAGCAAGATCCTGGGGGTGCCAGCTGGTGAACGTCAGAGCTCCCGTCGTCTCAGATCAGGGAACTTTGACTCCCAGAAGCTCGCATCCTGAAAGTCTTGTCCGTCTCTAAGGTGCTACCGGATTCCAGTTTAGCTCTTTGGTGTGCACGGTCTCTGCAGTTGCCTTTCAAGCATCCCTAGGTTTGCCCCGACAGCCCAGGCAAGCCCGATCATCTCATCAGATCTCGGAAGCTAAGCAGGGCCGACCCGGGCAAGTACTTGGAAGGGAGACCTCCAAGGAATACTGGGGCTCAGGAAGCAGAGGCCGGCTATCAAGCCACCTTGCAAGAAAACATCCAAGCCCCCGGTAGGGGTTGCGAGAAGTAGCCATGGCTTCATGAAGGACTCTGAATTGTGCCTTTGAGAACTCTGAAATGGAATGATTGGGGGTACTGTTCCTAAACAGTTAAATTTAAGAGTTAAAGAAAAAGAAAGTAATACAAATGTTAGACACAGTTTATAATAATCTAAATGGAATGAAGATTTGTTGTAACTAAGCTAGTGAGGATCTCCTCTCTTGGGTTTTTAGTTAGTAGTGAGTTCTTTTGCTTTATCCTATATATGTAGTCCCCCCTTCCCTTTTTTCTGTAGTAGTTTTGTAGTTTGATAAAAAATAATAAAAAATCTCCTCCGGGGGCTCAAAAAAGAAAGAAAAAAGAAAGAAGTAGCCATGACTTCAGGCATGCAAGCACGCACACACACACATACCAAAAGAAGAATCCCTAAGGTTATTAGCAACACCTACCATTTTTTAAAACAGTGCCTCGTGCTTCCGGATGTTGTTCAGTTGAGGGTGGGGGAGATCTGCTAGCCCTTTGCTGAGCCAGTGTTTTTTTTTGGGGGGGGGGGTCCAGGGGTCCATCTAGTCCAGCACCCTGTTCATGATTCTATTTTTGGCGGTCTGGCCCCTGTGTGAGCTCAGCTTTACCTGGATTCTAACATTCCTCTCTTTCCACCCCGTTCAGCGCTTGGTCTTCGACCTGCCCATCTTCCACCCGCTCGTCGATCCCATCTCGGGTGAACTGGACGTGAAAAGAGCCTTTGCCAAGTGGAGGTCAGTGGGACGTGCCGGGAGCCCTGATCTGGAAGCGGGGGCTTTGTCAGGATGGCCCGCTAACGCTGTTTTTCTTGTGCTTCTCCTCCCTAAAGGCGGAACCATAACCACATATGGCAAATCCTGATGTACGCCCGCAGAGTTTTTTATAAGATCGACACTACCAGCCCTCTGAATCCTGAAGCTGCTGTGCTGTAAGTTTCCAGTTGGGACGGCCCAGGCTAGCTTGACCTCATCAGGTCATAGAAGCTTAAGCAGCATTGGCCGTGGTTGGTACACGGATTCAGTCTTCCCTCTAAGCTGAGTCAGTGTGAGCTAGCTCACAGTTGTTCAGCCTCCGGCTCACACAGTTTTGTCCCGGCTCAGGAAGGATGTGGCTCCAGAGCAAACCAATTTATGCAGGAGAATTTTTGCTCACGAGACTCCGCAGCTTAGAGGGAACATTGCTTGGATCAGTACAAAGTTTGCAGTCTGCATCCCTGACAACGTTCCAGATGGTGGATTAGTGGTTAGCAGAGGCGGGCAGCGGCAAATCACCTCTGCACGTCTCTTGAGAACCCCATGTGGTTGCCGTACATCAGCTGCATCTTGACGGCACTTTCCACTACTAATGCTACTCTAGTCTGGGAGAACCGGGTTTGATTCCCCACTCCTCCACTTGCACCTGGTGATGTGACCTTGGGTCAGTCACAAGCTCTGGCACAGCTATCCTTGAAAAAGAGCAGTTGCTGAGAGAACTCTCAGCCCCACCCACCTCACAGGATGTCCTGTTGTGGGGTGGGGAAGGGAAAGGAGTTTGTAAGCCGCTCTGAGACTCCAAGTGAAGGGCGGGGTATAAATCCAATCTCTTCTTCTTCTTCTACCTGTATGCGCTTTATTCCAGAGGGTAGCGGTGGTGGCCTGCAGTGGAAGAGCTAGATTTGAGCGCCTTAGAGACCAGCAAGATCCTGGGGGTGCCAGCTGGTGAACGTCAGAGCTCCCGTCGTCTCAGATCAGGGAACTTTGACTCCCAGAAGCTCGCATCCTGAAAGTCTTGTCCGTCTCTAAGGTGCTACCGGATTCCAGTTTAGCTCTTTGGTGTGCACGGTCTCTGCAGTTGCCTTTCAAGCATCCCTAGGTTTGCCCCGACAGCCCAGGCAAGCCCGATCATCTCATCAGATCTCGGAAGCTAAGCAGGGCCGACCCGGGCAAGTACTTGGAAGGGAGACCTCCAAGGAATACTGGGGCTCAGGAAGCAGAGGCCGGCTATCAAGCCACCTTGCAAGAAAACATCCAAGCCCCCGGTAGGGGTTGCGAGAAGTAGCCATGGCTTCATGAAGGACTCTGAATTGTGCCTTTGAGAACTCTGAAATGGAATGATTGGGGGTACTGTTCCTAAACAGTTAAATTTAAGAGTTAAAGAAAAAGAAAGTAATACAAATGTTAGACACAGTTTATAATAATCTAAATGGAATGAAGATTTGTTGTAACTAAGCTAGTGAGGATCTCCTCTCTTGGGTTTTTAGTTAGTAGTGAGTTCTTTTGCTTTATCCTATATATGTAGTCCCCCCTTCCCTTTTTTCTGTAGTAGTTTTGTAGTTTGATAAAAAATAATAAAAAATCTCCTCCGGGGGCTCAAAAAAGAAAGAAAAAAGAAAGAAGTAGCCATGACTTCAGGCATGCAAGCACGCACACACACACATACCAAAAGAAGAATCCCTAAGGTTATTAGCAACACCTACCATTTTTTAAAACAGTGCCTCGTGCTTCCGGATGTTGTTCAGTTGAGGGTGGGGGAGATCTGCTAGCCCTTTGCTGAGCCAGTGTTTTTTTTTGGGGGGGGGGGAGGCAGGAAGAAGAAGAAGAGATTGGATTTATACCCCGCCCTTCACTTGGAGTCTCAGGGCGGCTTACAAACACCTTTCCCTTCCCCTCCCCACAACGGACACCCTGTGAGGTGGGTGGGGCTGAGAGAGCTCTGACACAAACTGCTCTTTTTCAAGGACAGCTGTGCCAGAGCTTGTGACTGACCCAAAGTCACACCAGCAGCTGCATGTGGAGGAGAGGGGAATCAAACCCGGTTCTCCTAGATTAGAGTCTGCGCTCTTAACCACTACCCCAAACTGGTTCATGGATTCAGTCTTCCCTCTAAGCTGAGTCAGTGTGAGCTAGCTCACAGTTGTTTAGCCTCCGGCTCACACAGTTTTGTCTCGGCTCAGGAAGGATGTGGCTCCAGAGCAAACCAATTTATGCAGGGGAGACATCTAATAAACCAAAGCACGACAGCTGCCCTGCTGTGTACAGCAGAGAAGCTAAAAATGGCAGCATGGTTTCTCCCTCCCCCGCTTCCATTGTGGTATAAGAGGCACATGAAGCTGCTTTGTACTGACTCCGACCCTTGGTCCATCAAAGTCAGTATTGTCTGCTTGGACTGGCAGCAGCTCTCCGGGGTCCGAGGCTGAGGTCTTTCCCATCACCTGGTCCTTACGGAGATGCTGGGGATTGAGCCTGGGACCTTCTGGACACCATACAGGGCCCACAGCCCCGTTAGATACGTGCTGAAGTTGGAGGGAAGGGTGATCTGCCCGAACTCTTGCACCGTACCATTGTTTTTTTATACATTCACACTTTTTTGGGTCTAGAAAACTCCCAAAATAATGTTCCTTGCAGCTACAGAACATTCTCATCCAGTGGGAGAGTCCTAAAGGCGTGTTTTTGTTTCGCTCTGTCGCTCTGCTAGGTACGAAAAGGATGTCCAGCTTTTCAAAAGCAAGGTGGTGGACAGTGTCAAGCTTTGCAGCAGTCACTTATTTGACCCACCAAAAATAGAGGACCCCTACGCCATCAGGTAAGGCGCTTCCGTGCTGTTCTAGTGAGCCACGTGCAGTGGCTGCGTGGTCACGGACGCTGTTCCAGACTTCCAGAAGAGGAGGAGGAGATTGGATTTATACCCCGCCCTTCACTACGCAAAGGAGTCTCAGAGCGGCTTACAAACTCCTTTCCCTTCCCCTCCCCTCCCCACAACAGACACCCTGTGAGGTAGGTGGGGCTGAGAGAGCTCTGACAGAAACTGCTCTTTTCAAGAACACCTCTGACAGAACTATGGCTTGCCCAAGGTCATCCAGCCAGGTGCAAGTGGAGGCGTGGGGAATCAAGCCTGGTTCTCCCAGATTAGAGTCCGCGCACTTAACTGCTACACCAAACTGGCTCTCTACCAGCCTGGCACAGCCCTTTCGTGAGAATCCAAGCGTAGGCAAAATCCTGCCACGAATGCTGGTGAATTGGGTTGCCGTACTTTCTACTTTTTCTATTTTTTCTACTGGGAAAGATTGAAGGTCAAAGAAGACGGGGACGGCAAAGGATGAGATGGTTAGACAGTGTCATAGATGCAATGAACATGAAATTGAGCAAACTTCAGAGGACGGCGGAAGACAGGAAGGCCTGGCGTGATCTTGTCCATGGGGTCTCGAAGAGTCGGACTCGACTGTGCGACTGAACAACAATCTACTTACTTTTGCTCACAGGATTGAAGTGTTGAATGTCGCTGAGTTTCCAAAGGCATTTAAAGTGTTTTAAAAACCCTAGCTTCATTTTGCCCTGTGTCATCTTACTGCCTGGGGGGTGTGTGTGTGTGGAGATGCCAAGAAGTTATTGAGAAGGTGCTGGTAATTCCCAAGGATGTAGTTGGTTTCAGAGGGTAGCCGTGTAGATCTGCAGTAGGAGAGCTAGATTCGAATCCATTCACACCTTAAGAGATCAACAAGATTTTCGGGGTAGGAGCTTTCGGGTATCTGACGAAAGGAGCCTGGGCTCTTGAAAACTCATAACATGAAAGTCTTGTTGGTCTGACATAATTTTTTTTTATTAAATATAAAACAATTGATACAGAGAATCCCAAATAATACAAACCGCTTAACATTAATAATATTCTTAATATTCTATTTAGGATATCTATGTAAAACTTAACTCATAACATGTTTTCTAATAATACAGTTGGGTTAGCAACCATCTTGTATAAATGTAATAATTTGAGTTCAACTAGCTAGTATTTGAGTTCAGTTTGGTGTAGCGGTTAAGTGCGCGGACTCTAATCTGGGAGAACCGGGTTTGATTCCCCACTCCTCCACATGCAGCTGCTGGATGACCTTGGGCAAGCCATAGTTCTGTCAGAGCTGTTCTCTCAAGGGCAGTTCTTGAGAGAGCTCTCTCAGCCGCACCTACCTCACAGGGTGTCTGTTGTGGGGAGGGGAAGGGAAAGGAGTTTGTAAGCTGCTCTGAGACTTCCTTGGGTAGTGAAGGGCGGGGTATAAATCCAATCTCTTCTTCTTCTTCTCATCTCTTTTCTTCTTATTATTGATCAAAATTAAAACATACTCTAAATCTGGGGTTTATAGAATAAACACTTCAGATGAAACTAAATAACCAGAAATAATTCCATTCTGTGCCATGTAACTTATGACCGGAAACAATTTTTTCAACAAAAGTTGATTGATTATTTTTATGTTCAAATTGTAACAGTCTGTTTGTAATTTTTTCTAAAACATAGCAGTCCCCTATCTTAGACATCCATAAGTAAACCGAAGGCGCCAATTTGCTCTTCTGAAGCTATTGCTGTCTTTGCAGCAGTTAATAATGTGACAAAGTCTTTCGTATTTGTGGAATTGGAATCTCTTCCCATAGACTAAGCAGTATTAGCTCAGGTCGTAAAGGGAGTGAATACCCTGTTATTAATAGAATCAATTTCAATACCTTTTGCTACAATTCAACAATATAATAACACGACCACTAACAATGGTAGTAAGTCCCTTTCTCACCACACTGACTTGAATCAAGGATGTACATTTCACGTTCATTCCTAGTGCCGCTTAAAGAAAGGCATCTGAACCCTTTTGTACAGTAGTTATTTTTCATGCTCATCAATACTGATTTTTTTTTCAAACCAATGCCTCTCACATCACTACCTTCCTGTGTTGGTGAAATCCGAATATAATAGGTTTCTGTTCTGCTTGCGTCTTTGCAGTTTTTCACCATGGAATCCAGCTATACACGACGAAGCCAGAGAGAAGATGTTGAGCCAGAAGGTACGGAATGGGTCCTGCTCGCTTACCGTAATAACAAGAGCCATAAAAAACCAAATGAGCAAAATAGGTTCTTTGTCGGAGAAACTGCTAATGCGTTTTATGTAGCATGTATGGCAGGACTCCAACAAACTGCAACAAGGTTTAGGGAACTCGTGTAGCAGGACTCTGACATGATATGTAAAACACTGGACAGGTGTGGGAGCTGGCATGATTTTCAGAAATGCAGGCCATCCAGGATCTCAGGAGCGATCGGACAACAACATTTGGGAAGTGTCCTGCAGCCGTCAGCAACCTGTTCTGCTCTGCCGCAGAAGTGGAGTTAAAAGACACCGGGGGGAATCTGGTAGTAAACGGGTTGCAACGGGCCACAGACAGACTTTCCCGTGTCTGATCACTCCAGCGCGCGCTCATGCCGTCGGAATGGTCTGATCAGGCCATCCCGACTCCATGCTGTTGTCCCCCCCCCCTTCGCAGTACGTACATCATCGCAAACTCCGTAGGGAGTCCTCAGTGTGGAGGTGCGGCTCATCGATTCCTTGTTAAAGTGCATGGGGGGGGGGAACTGCACACAAAAAGCCCCCAAAATGACTCACCCATCACACACTGATGGGCTGCACCTGCAGCTTCAAAGGGAGGTGTGATCTCGCAACTGCAGGTCAAATTCCGCTGGAGGGAATAGCCTTGCTCCTCCCCCGTTTTCCCTGGCGCGTGTGACCCTCTTTAAAGGTAAAGGTTCCCTTGCTCGAAAGCCAGTCGAGTCCGACTCTAGGGTTGCGGTGCTCACCTCCGTTCCAAAGCCGAAGAGCCGGCGCTGTCCGAAGACATTCCCATGGTCATGTGGCCGGCATGACTCAACACCAAGGCGCACGGAACGCTGTTCCCTTCCCACCGAAGTGGTACCTATTTATCTACTTGCAATTTCTTGCTTTCGAGCTGCTAGGTTGGCAGGAGCTGGAACTAGAGACGGGAGCTCACTCCGTCATGCGGCACACCCGGGTCTCGAACTGCTGAACTACCGACCTTCCACAGCCTGCAGTTCAGCATCTTAACCACTTGAGCCACTTTAAGCACTGCTAAAATTTTCATATGCTGTAAAGAGTAGCTCACATTGCACAGTTCCTCCGCTGTCTAGTAAACTCTTCCAGGCACGGTGTGTAAAAGAAGGAATTCGGTCCTCCTTCCTTTGCCCTGGAGAGGAGTCTTAACTTGGCTTCAGTGCCGAAGGAAAGGTTAACTCCGGCTCTTCCCTTACGCCGCTCTTCTTGAATAGGCTCATCCACCAGTCTGGAGAGGTTTAACGTGCTCTTGTTTATTATTGCTTAGGGTTACATGCAAATCTTTAGAGTTCTGGAATTCCCTCCAGGGCCGGGAGGGCGTTCTTGCTCTCCCAAGCCCTCCTCCGAGCTGCCTCCATCCTCAAAGGCTGGGGTCTACTCACTCGTTCACTCAGACTGGTGGATGAACATATTATGAGCAGACCACTGTCAGGTAAGATGGCCCTCCTTCCGGGCAGCACGTCTGAGCTCCTTCCAGATTTATTGTGTTTTAAGAACATAAGAACATAAGAGATGCCAATGTTGAATCAGGCCAAAGGCCCATCCAGTCCAACACTCTGTATCACACAGTGGCCAGAAATACCAGGTGTCATCAGGAGGTCCACCAGTTGGGGCCAGGACATTAGAATGTAGAGCATCACTTCCCCCAGAGTATGTAGAGCATCACTTGCCCCAGAGTCCCTATCTATACCTTGTGGCTAATAGCCACTGATGGACCTCTGCTCCATATGCTTATCTAATTCCCTTTTGAAGCCGTTTTGCGGCACTACTTCAGGCCGTCTGTTTACCTAATACATTTGTAACTCTCCTGCAGTTTTAAGATCCTGAAGGACTCGGCCTCAATATTACTTGATCCGAGTGCCCTAGAGAACAGAATGGTGCATGTCTCGGCAGAGGCCCTGGAAGGAATGGGCTCGCTCGTCTGTGGAGCTTGCCCGGCCTGGCACTGTGAAGACGTTCTGTCTCATGGGGATGGGCCTTGGACTGGCCAAAAGAGCCAGGATCTGTTCAAGTGTTTTAAAAGCAGCTTCATTGGAACACACAGAAAAAGCACAGAATCCGTTAATGAGGGTTACCCTGTTTCGAAAAGCGTAAAAGAGGGCCTGTTTCCCGACTGACTGCTTCAAACAACTGATTGCTATGGCAGATCTCATTTTAAATAGCCCTGCTGTTGAAGCTGAAGCTTGCCTCCCCCTGGGGGATCATAGGGCAGAACAGGCTCAGCGTCCCCCAACCCAAAAAGAGGCCATTTTTTATCAGGTTTTTTTTAAAAAAAGAGAGAGAGCCCAAATGAGGACCCCCCCCCCCCAAAAAAAGAGGACATCTGTTAACCCTACTTTAATTGTCAGCAGTCTTGGTGCCTGTTTTACAAGATAACTAGAAATAAGGCTCGTTGTGGAAATAAATACAACGGGATCTAGAAAGAGGCTCTGGGAGAGTGCTCTGGCTTTGGGCAAACAGTGTCAGTCTGCTTTTAAAACATGAACCTGGGACCTGCACACCACCAGAATACAGCAGGTTCCATATGCAACTGACATTCCAACTGCCTTGCAGGGGGTGGGGGGAGTTTGAGGTGTGGAATGGAGTGAAGTCCAATCAGCTTCCATATGCAAAAGACCAGGTTGTCGCAGCAGTTGTGGTGTGGGCGGGACCCGGGCTTTGCCTTCTGATTGGTGGTGATATATGCTGAGGAGCAGTGCCATCAGCAATACACTAAGGGAGTGCATTTTAGAATTAGAACTTTGGCACCCACTATTCAATTATATATAAGGAGAGATGACTTGGGGGGGGGGGGCATTCACTATCTTTCCTGTTTCTCTGCTGCCGGCAGATGGGATGGCCCCTGAAGGAGCCACATCTGGGTGGTAGGAGCTAAACAACAGCTGTCCATCCACCAGATGTTTGGTTCTGTGGTGTGCAAGATTGCTTATTAAAAGGGAGAGCCCTTACAGGATTAACGTAGTATATAGAAGAAGAGGGGGTGTGTGGATTTCTACCCCGCCCTTCGCTGTCCAAAGGCGTCTCAGAGTGGCTTACAGTCTCCTTTCCCTTCCCCTCCCCACAGCAGACACCCTGTGAGGTTGGTGGGGCTGAGAGAGCTCTCACAGGAACTGCTCTTGAGACAGCAGCTCTGAGAGAACTTGTGACTGACCCAAGGTCACACCAGCAGCTGCATGTGGAGGCGTGGGGAATCAAACCCGGTTCTCCCAGATCAGAGTCCGCGCTCCTAACCACTACACCAAACTGGCTCTGCATTAATCCTGCAAGATCTCCCAGTCAATAAGCAACGTTGTCTTGATCTGGATGGCTCCGGCCAGCCTGGTCTTGTCAGCTCTCAGAAGCTAAGCAGGGTCCGCCTCGGTTAGCAATCGGATGGGAGACCTCCAAGGAAGCCCAGGGCTGCCATGCAGAGGCAGGCCACGGCGAACCGTCTCCGAAGGTCCTCCTGCCTGTAAAACCCTATGGAGTTGCCGTTTTAAGTCGACTGTGCCTTGGTGGTGCGTTCCATCCATGCACACACACCCCCAATTCATCCGAGCCCCTTTTAATTGAAAAGCGTAAGTCCAGTGGAGAGCTGGAAACTGGTTCGTCTGGTGAGGACTCTTTGTCTGAGCAGGGGGCATCAGCCCCGAAAAGTTCCTACAAACTGCGGAAGAGAGAGAAGGAGAAGTAAAGGCTGAAGGACTCTGAATTGTGCCTTTGAGAACTTTGGTTCTAGGGGATGATGGGGGGCACTGTTATTGGGCAATTAAATGTAACCGGGGATGGTTAAAAGGGTTAAAAGACTGACACACTTCATAAGAAGTACAAAGATGAAAAGTCTGAATGGAGTATAAAAAGCTAGTTGGAGATCTCCTCTCTTGGGTTTTTAGTTAGTAGTGGGTTCTTTACTTTCTCCCTTATATGTAGCTTTCCCTTTCCCTTTTTTCTGTTCTAGTTTTTGTAGTGTTTAAAAAATCAATAAAAAATCCCCTCCGGGGGCTTAAGAAAAAGAAAAGAAAAGCGTAATTGCAAGTAGATTTAGGAGGCCATCTTACGTCAAAGCGGGGCATCCCTAAACTGCTGACGAATTCTCTTCCTCCCTCTTCCTAGAAGTCAGAGGATCAACAGGGCAAGAGCACGCAAGTGTCCGGCCTCTCCTGGGTGAAGCCCGGCTCGGTTCAGCCCTTCAGCAAAGAGGAGAAGACCCTGCCTACTTAAACCCCAGTGGAATGGGGGGGGGAAGCAAAAAGCACTCAACACTTTCTGCAGGGAAAGGGAATGTAACAGAGAGCGCCGGATGGCAAAGCGGTGGAATCTTTTTTTTCCCCTTCCCTTCTTGACTTTGGATTAGTAAAGAGTAAAAACGCTAGAGGTGACTCGAGTAAACCCGCTCAAATGGATTGGCTTGGACTCTTCTTCATGTTTTTTTTTAAACGTGTTTTAACGACAGCCTGCAAGTTGGGGAAGTAGCTCTTAACTTGGCTGGGCTTTTGGTAGCAAAGTCCACCTCGGGTGGCTCATCTTACCTCAGGTTCTCCTATGCTGAGGTTCTTAAGTGGGGTTACTCTTAAGCTTTTTATTTTTTAATTATTATTTTCCTTCCAGGACTTAGGTGGGGTTTTTTTTAACTTAAAAAGAAGCAGGCAACAGCCGCTTTGTTCTTGTGTTTATGTAAACTAATATAGCAGAGTAAAAATACTATATTTAAAAACTTTTAAAATGTATTTGGTTTCTATTGTAAATATTGTTAGGATATGGAATTTGTAAATAGTTGGGGTTTTTTTGGATTCCTTGCTGCCCGCAAGAGGGCAGGAAGGCCGAGATTGGCACGTACCGTGACTTGCAGACTGATTTTCCAGTATTGTCACTACAGGCTGTCTTCTAGCGTGGTTCTCCCCTCCTGTCTTCAGGTCCACGATACAAATTGCCTGCGAGCATCACGTTGGGGGGGTGGGGGGGAGGAGCCAGGCGAATCCGATCTTCTTTGCTGCAAAGACGCACACTTGGCGCAAGTGTCAGAGACCACGAAGAGAACGCCATGCCGCATTTTCTTCTTCCTCCCGTTCTGCGTGACGTTTGCATGCATCTTCAGATGCTGGTCCCGAGGGGTCTTTAGATCTGTGTTAGGAGGCAGCCTTCAGTCACTCATTAGTCAGGTTGGACAGCCAACTGCGCTGGGGCGGGTGGATGGGTGGTTACCAGGTTTCGTATGACTCTTATTCTAGTGGCGTGCAATTCTTGGCTCAATTAAATCTTAGAGGATACGGGGTAGCTTCCCTTAGAGATAGCAGGACAGGCTGTCGTGGCTAATGTGTGTTGAAATAGTGGCATCTTAAAAATAATAATAATAAAAAAATAAAACTCCAGTCAAGGTAAAATGTCTGCTGTTGTTGTTGTGTTTTGTATGGAGTCTTCAAGTCTGTGCTAGCTCCAGGTAGGCTGTTCTGGGCAGCTAGAAAAAGATCACATACTCTTGCGTGAAGAAACTACCATCCAGGTATGCCAAGCAGTGTTCCCTCTAAGCTGAGTTAGTGCGAGCTAGCTCACAGTTTTTTAGCCTCTGGCTCACAGTTTTTTGTCTTTGCTCAGGAAGGAGGGCTCCAGAGCAAACCAATGTATGCAGTAGCCAAGTTGCTCGCTCACAACTCTAATGCCAGTAGCTCACGAAGTAGAATTTTTGCACACAAGACTCCACAGCTTAGAGGGAGCATTCGTGGCAAGTTGGGCTCTTAACAGCTGCATTTTGCTTTGAGATCAAGGAGTGCCCCCCCCATCCCCCTTGCCTTTTTGGGCCTGTGGGTACCTTTGGGATTTCGACACAGGGTGGTGGGTGCACCCCCCAAATGGCTGCTGCGGCACGGTAAGTAACCGGAAAACGTTAGGGTCATGCATAACTTCAATGGGTGAGGGAAGGAGAGGTTGTTGATCATAAAACAAGGCCAATGGGAGGCATCCACTCAGCCAGAGAGGGGGACATTCAGATTCTACTAACGATTTAGTGGCTTGTCTGCATGCCTCTGCGAGCAATGTGTACATGCTAACTATCCTGCCAAATGCACCCTATGAGGTGGGGCCCAGCCGCCTCTGAGGTTCGTTTGTGTCACAGGATGAATGCATGGAATTCACCGCTGCAGGAAGTGGTGGCAGCAACAAGCATAGATAGCTTAGAGAGGGGAGTGGATCAGAGGTCCGTCAGTGGCTGTTAGCCACAAGGTCTAGATGAGACACTCTGCCTGGGGCAGTGATGCTCTGTATTCTTGGTACTGGAGGGGAAACAGTGGGAGGGCTTCTGGAGTTCTGGCCCCACTGGTGGACCTCCTGATGGCACCTGGGTTTTGACCTCTGTGTGACACAGAGTGTTGGACTGGATGGGCTGCTGGCCTGATCCAACATGGCTTCTCTTATCTAATAGTAGCGCTTCCCCCTCTCTGGCAGAAGCCCTGTTCAACAGGATGCCTTTCAGAATGAACATAATTGCGCAAATATATTTTCCTGCATACACACGGCAACACAGAAGGTCCTTGTGTTGTGGCGAAAGCAGCTCTTCACAAATGTGCACGGCCAATCAGAAGCCCTGCTGGGCAAAGGCCCCCCCCCCCGCTTTCTAAAAGCACCTGGACATATGTCTGCAGGCACCATGGGACCCACGTCGGGGGAGCCGTGCTTTAGAAATTTCACCAGCAAAAGTATGGGGCTGTATCCAGCCAGCTCTTCTGGAGCTGAAAGGTCCCCTTTGACCACGCAGAAAGCCTGTTCTGGGATACAAGGGAACTAGGGTTACCAAGTACCTACCTTCGAATCGGTGGAGGACACGTGGTTCCCAGCCGGAACATCCCTCAGTGTAACACACCCCTGTCCCACCGTGCCGTCGCCCAGACGTGACGCCAGCACGCTGGGCATGTAGCTGGGCGATGCTCTGGCAATGGAGCTGGAAACTCGATGTGCGTTTTTTCCATGCGGGAATGTTCCTGACAAGAAGTATGTGTCCCCCGCTGATCAGTGTTCCCTCTAAGCTGAGTTGGTGTGAGCTAGCTTTTTTATAGCCTCCGGCTCACGTTTTTGTCTTCGCTCAGGAAGGACAGCTCCAGATTAAGCTAAGTTATGCAGTAGCCAAATGGCTCGCTCGCAACTTTAATGCTGGCAGCTCGCAAAGTAGAATTTTTGCTCACAAGACTCCACAGCTTAGAGGGAGCACTGCCGCTGATTTCGAGGTAGGTACTTGGTAAGCCTAACGTGAACCGTATGGACAGAAGCCATGTGGACTGGAGAATCAGGCAAGATTCAGTGAGAAAGCTGGCTGGATCAAACCCAAGTCATAAATAGAAGGATATCTACCCCTCCCTGACCCTGTACTGGTGCAGGCCAAAGTGGTGTGTTCCAGATGACCCCGTCTCCTTGAAAAATGGTATTTCACATTTTGGCATTGGTACGAGTGGTGGTGGTAGAGTCTTCGGCCTGTTCAGATCAGCTTTACCGGTTGTCTTTTGAAATCCCCAAATGACACAGTTGGCAGACCCAAGGCTTTAATTAACAGGCAGAGTGTGATTGCAGTTCTTGTATGCTAGACGTGCAATTACCTGTTTGATGTAGAAGGGTGCTTTGAACATTGTTGTTATTAACTTTCTAGAACAAAGTTTGCTGTTAGGTTGGGCTGATCAGCCTTCCCTGTGTTGTTCATTAAAACCATGTCACGAAATTAGGAGAGTTGATCCTGGGTTGGATCCACCCGGAGTTGCGCAGCTTGCCTATGCCAGAATATGTTCTTATGGCTGTGATATGACTAAAGACCTGATGGCTTATTTTTCCTGAGATACTTCTCAGCAGCTGGGCAAAACCAGTTCGACTTAGAACCTCAGTCTCAGACGTCCCAGTGTTGGAGCCCTAGCATCTCTGGTTCAAAGGACAGTTGGTAATAACGCAGTCAGCCTTGACTACACACAGACCAAGGCCTGTGATTTAATAAAAGTTGCCTTCTGCATTCCTTTCTTTAGCAAGTTCCCTGGACTGATGCTTTTTAATAGCAAGGTGCTGTTGAGCAAGTCTAAATGCTTTAGTACATAACCAGGTTAATATGCTAACAAGCTGTCATTTTATTGCTTCTGAACACATTTTTTCCTAGAAGTTCTAGCGTTTTCCACAGTATGTTGTTGACACAGAGTACTCCATCTTTCTGTGTTATAGCTCTGAGGATGCCAGTCACAGCTATTGGCGAAAGGTCAGGTTCTACAATGCCAACCAAGCCCATGGCCACACAACCCGGAAAATCTACAGCAACTAATTTTCCACAGTGGTGAATGGAGAGTGTATTAGGTCCTTCTGCAGAACTTTCATTCTGTGCAAGAAAAGGTATGCAGGCCTTCAGCGTGCGTGTGAATGACCAATCCTGCTAGTGCGGATTGCTGTCACCAATCAGATGGTCACTGTTTAATACCTAGTTCATTCCTGATCAAAGGTACTTCAGGACACCCGTTCCGTTAGGGCCACAGAACTAATAGGAGTCCAGCTACTAGGCTGTTCAGGGCTTCCTGCTTCTACGGTCTTGGCATGGGTCTCTGTTACTAGTCAGTACTCTTTTGCCAAGGGGGGGGGGGAAGGATGGTTGGGAGAACAGAGCTACCACTGGTTTCCCTTGCTAGACAACCAAGGAATGAGATCCTTGAGTGGGTCGGAAGTATGCGGATGCGAGTTTTAACTTGTGTGTGTCTTCTTGAGCTGCCCTGATATACTCTGAAGGGAGAAAACAGTCCACCTACCCAAACTATAAACCCCTCTACACATGCAGAGAGCTGGATCAGCAGTTCTGCAGGGTTAGCAAGCAGACAACCCTCAAACCCCCCCTTCCCTCTGGACGCCACGCCCACTTTGAAAAGAGGCTCAGCCATATTATTATGACCTGTGGGGGCTTCCATCCTTTGAAAAATTCCAATAAAACCTTAATCAGCTGGATGCTTAAAAGCAGGTTCTAACAAAACCGCTTTTATTGTTGGTATGTGGCCTATAAGGTGAGGTCGTGGAAGGGGAGTCCCTAAAGCTTAAATTTACCAGGTGCTGGCCCACGTTCTAAACCAAACTCTTTGCCTGGAAGGGTTGTTACACCAGAGAAGGCAAGGAGCTTCCTCGGTTGTTAATAACTTCAACAGGGGACAGCCGGGAAGGAGCCTTTAACAATGAACATGACTAATCTTCAGCAAAAAGCTAGAAAACAAAAGTTCGGCTGTGTCTGTAAAAGATGCTGTAAATCCAATATATTCTAAGACAAAAATATCCTTTAAGGGATGTACAGCAAATGTAATAGTCACAACACGTGCACACACACCTCTGCCACAACACACAAAGACTCTTATTGTCAATTGTAAGGTAAGACCAAATAGGTTTTGACAAACCGTTTCCCATTAGTGGTTAAACATATGGAATGGCTCCCAACTGACAGGTGGTGAGCCTTTGTTTGGTTCTCTGTAAGAACTAAGAAGGTGTTTGTACTCTTATTCACACCAGGATGCTATAATGACCATTTCTTATTTGACTTACCCCAGCTTGTGTAACTTTAATCAAGGCATGGGCTTTTCGAGTCTTGTGATGTTGTTCCTTTTAAGATTTTAATAATCGGGGAGATAAAATTCTAATGGTGAGTTGTTTTTTTAAAAAAAAGTGTTTAGAGTCTGTCTTTCTCACTGAGACTCCAGAACCTAAAAAGGTTAGTCAGGAATAGAAAAGGGCCAACTCTAAAAATTTAATCATAAAATATACAAAAATATATATGTGTGTGTTTGTTCAACATAAATTAAAATAACAAACAAGTGCCCATTCATACCTCATATAAAACTATAAAAACATACAAGGGCTAATAAGATAGACCTAACGTGTTTCGGCCTTTACAGGCCTTCCTCAGAGGTCTAATACATACAGAACATATTGGCTGATGTGCAAAAATACATACAATTCTACATATACAAAATATGGAATAAAGACCAGAAACCAATTGTTCCAAAGTTTAACCACTGGGCAAGGAAAAGAAATACAGAAATACAAATGAAGCCTCCAGTGTAATCACATGTCCAGTGGTACTTCTCTCTGGTCAACTGTATATTCATCGAAGGTTGTACAGCCAAATGTTCCAAATGTTCCTTAGGTTAAAAGCAGTCTTTTAATTCTATGTAGAATTGTATGTATTTTTGCACATCAGCCAATATGTTCTGTATGTATTAGACCTCTGAGGAAGGCCTGTAAAGGCCGAAACGCGTTAGGTCTATCTTATTAGCCCTTGTATGTTTTTATAGTTTTATATGAGGTATGAATGGGCCCTTGTTTGTTATTTTAATTTATGTTGAATAAACACACATATATATTTTTGTATATTTTATGATTAGATTTTTAGAGCTGGCCCTTTTCTATTCCTGACTAACCTTTTTAGGTTCTGAATTCTAGGTTTAGGTTCAGTTTTTCCCCCTTTTTTCTTCTTTCTCACTGAGACTCCAGGAAGATTACACAGTGTAAGTCAAAGATGGTCAACAGGATGGGACGTCCCCTGAACGATGCAAGAGGGCTTTGGATAGCAAAACTCTGAAACAAAGCTTGAGTCCAGTGGCATCGTTAAGACCAACAAAGTTTAATTCTGGGTATAAACTTTCATGTGTGTGCACACAAAAGCTTATACCCAGAATTACACTTTCTTGATCTGAAAGATGCCACTGGACTCAAACTTTGTTCTGAAATAAAGCATAAGCATTTAAACATGACACATTAAACAATGCAGAAGTTATTCAATAGGAGCATGCTTTCAGCAACAGGCAATACACGGTCCTATGGCCCACAGTCCCTGTCACTTTACCAAAGTGTCTTTTGTAAACCACTACAATAAAGCCCTACCTTTAAAGTTTTGTTAATGGACAGAGACAGTAAATGTCATGTAATTTTTTTACCATTTTTAAAGGTAATGGCAGAACAGGTTTGCTGGGAAATTTCACTTCTGTTGGTGACGAGGGACGTCATAAGGACCTTCATGAAAGATAGTCAAGTGATTCATGAAGCCACAAGCAGTGAACGGTTTAGCTGGGTCAGTATGTGTTTTATTTGTTCAGTTCCTGAAAATGAACTTTTAAAAGCCACCCCCGAGCCTGCTCCAGCGGGGTATACATTTGATAAATAAATAAAAGAACATGAACTGGGCATGACCCGAAAAGGGTCACGTTTCTGAAATTTAAACTGTGGATAACTGTGCACTGCAGTGTAGAAGACTGCTTTGTATGATTTGCATGTATTTTTGACATAAGAATTGGCTTTGTTTATTAGAGGGGAAAGAAACTTTGTATGGTTGACTGGTCTTTCATCTTACAACTGATTAGAATTTTATGTTATGATTATTTTATTGTATATTCATTAAGCCCTGGCCTGCATGGGCCAGGCTATAGTCTAATCTCCTTAGATCTCAGAAACTAAGCAGGGATGGGGTGGAAGACTACCAAGGAAGTCCAGGGCCACAACACAGAGGCAGGCAACGGCCAATCACTTCTGAACGTCTTTTGCCTTGAAAACCCTTTGGGGGTCGCTGTGAGTCAGTGACAAATTGACAGCACTTTCCACTCTACCGTATCCATTACAGGACATGTAGTTTGGAATTTATTGGACTTACAATAATCTTTTTTTGAAAACATGCCTTTAGCTTTCAGTTGCATACCAGACGTTCACATTTCCAGTCTCCTTTCCCCACACATACCCTTTTTTTCAATGCCTCATTTAACTGAAACCTGCTGCTGGAGGCGAGTGCGAGGGGGTGGGCAACAGATTCTGGTCGTTGTCATGTCACCCCCATTCCGTGGAAGTGGAGAGGCTTCTGTTCACGTCGAACCAGATGGGCACAAGAAGGATTTGCCTTGTGCTGTTAAAAAGGACTTATGGAGCTCTAATGTTTTCCCCTGCAGTTTCAGCAGCACCAACTTAGGTGACTTTTCCCCAAACAGTCTTACTAGCACTCCTTTTCAAGCCCCACAGGTTGGATCCAGTGCAAAATTTCCACTCGTACAACAAAAAGACCAGTAGCCACTTCCGCCTAGTCAAATTCCTTGTATCCCCCCTGGTGTGTTGCCGCTTGCATAAGACCTTGCAAAACCAATTTCTGGGCACTCAAACACAAAGAGGAAAGGAAGTGTAAGGCACTGTGCAAGCAGAGCGGTGCTGGAGTTAGTTTCAGGTGGGCAGCAGTGTTGGTCTGAAGCAACAGAGCAGTTTGAGTCCAGTGTGCCTGCACACCAAAGCTTATACCCAGAATTAAACTTTGTCGGTCTTAAAAATGCCACTGGACTCAAGCTCTGTTCTGCACTTTCTGCTTGCGCATTATGGGATCCAAGCTACCATTTGTGTCCCGTGCACTGATCACGTGCCCATTCTGCATTACTGACAGCTGCGTCAACCAATACGGTTTCTCTTCAGCAACAGTCCCAAAAGCTGATAACTGTCTCATGTGCCTTTATTTTGACTCATTCCTTCTAGAGGAGTAGAATGAATTAAATGTTAGCTGTCAAACCTTCGGTGAATGTGGCTAAGTAGATATCACCCTACACACCCCCTCTCCTTCTCTCCCCCACCCCCGCCGCGCTTAAAAGCACCGGTCTGTGAAATAGCCAGCTAAACACTTAAATTCATTTAACCACAAGGTAACCATATCATACAAAAGGGTAAGAAAGCCGTCTGACCCTCCCCCCCCCACATCAGTATATTTTAAGTTCCAAGTGTAGCTACTGCATACTCAAAATAAATATATTTTGGCCATCTAACACAGGAAAACGTGCATTATTTTAGGATTTGGCTATTTAAAATCTATTCTCTTAAAAAGTGCCGTTGTAAGCAGACAGCGAACTCTAACCTTCTTCAGAGCTTTCTGCCCAAGAGTCCTCTTGACACTGCACAGCTAAAAACAGCATAGTGCCCCTGCATTATGTAAAGCACCCCAATGTTAGTCCCTAATGGGCATCAGGAAAGGAATCTGCTTTTGGTCTTCACTGCCGCCCTTCGAGAGTGCTGAAGCTCTCAAGAGCCCATTGCCTGGGGCCAAACAGACACAATGCCAATTCCATCATTAGACTGAAAGCAAGAGATTCTCAGGGGTGGGGGGAAAGTGATTATCTTTTTTGCAATGCTGCCTCTTCCGAGCACAAGGTTCCAAACACACGGCTTAAAAACACAAAATTAATGCTTTTCTGGTGTGATTAAAAAAAAAAGGAAAGGAAAGAGCTGGCCGTTAAAACACTGGCCCCTGTACATTTATCACTTTTGCCAATAAGTTAAAAAAAAGTCTGTCGTTCGAAACCGAAGTCACAGTTAAAAACGTTCTCCGTACGTACGTCAAGGCGGGAGGGCAGGGCCTTCTGCTGTTCCGGCGTCGGCATGGAGGCAAATTTCTGCTCCCCACCTAACCGGGATCGGTGCTGCGGTCCCATCGGATGCGAGGGAAGCCGAAGTCTCTTTGCAGGCTGCAGTTCCTCAAGCGACAGAAGCACCTTGCCCCCCACCCCACCCCGGTAAAAATGCTTCATTATTCCTTGGAAAAGTGCCTTAGAAGCGGAAAAGGCCTGCAGGCTCTGCCTCTATTGGCTGAGCGACAGAAGGCAAACCCGGCTCGGCGTCACCGACGTCAATGAGCCCCCCTGTCGTTGGCCACGTCTTGCAGGCGCCGCAGGAGGGCAGTGTGGTTTTCAGGGCACATGCGCTTGGCGGGCGATTCGGCCCCCTCCTCCAGGACGATGCCCCTCTTCTTTGTCGCTGTCTCCCCAGTTCTAATCATACTGTTGATTTCTTGAAGCCTCTGAAACAGAGGGGAGGGGGGGGGGGGGGGGAGTTCAGTGTGGCTGACTCAGGCCCAGTCAAGTCTAGCCACGTCTGTCCCCTTCCTCGAACACTGGGGACGCTTCCACAGAATAGCTGCACCGCTACCTTAAGCCTCCTTCAATACGTAGTTATCTAGCAAAGTTAAATAAGTACCGAGCCATCAGTTCTGTAGATTAGGCTGAACGCTCAAAAGACCTGATAGGCTGTGCAAAGGGCATGGTGCCTGCTGACATCTTTCCTGGTGCCAAGATTTTTTTAAGGAAGGGAGTGGGGCTCTTGGGCCACTGGAGATCTGATTAGCTGTGCAGATGACAATAAAGTAAGTTTAACTGGCAGCTGCCACCACCGTGCGGTGGCACAGAGGATTTATCCTCTGGTTAGCAACATCTGAGCTGAACAGTACGGCTGTCAGTTCTAGCCCCGTGTTGGTGTGAGCTACCAGCCTTGTCCCTAGCTCGCCGTCCACCCAGCGGTTCGAAAGCTTCGGCGAGTAGATAAAATGGGTACCACTCCTTAGAGAGGGTGGGCACACCAAAAACCCCGTGGGGGAGGTGTTAGCCGGCGACCAGAATGCTCAGCTTGCAAGATTGAAAGCCTAAGAAAAAATCTCTTTGACTCCGAGAAGCCTGTAATGGACTGTTCCGGCCAGGCGGTGGCAGTGCAGCGCTGCAAGACCTGGAGAAGCTGACGTCATCTAGCCGAGCCGAAGTGAATATGCCGACGGAACACGTCTGACCCGCAGCTGAACAAACCCTCGCCGACTGTGAATGTGTGTGATTTAAAAGATATATGTTGTCCTCCCTTACCCCATACATCATTGTTAGTCCCGCGTGAATGAGTAACTGTAAAATCGCTCAGAGCCAGCAAGCTCTGCAGGATTGGGCGATTAATAAATTGAAAGATTATTATTATTTCCCCTCTTTGTTCCCCTTCCCAGTGTATTTTTATATCACCCCTCCCCCCCACACCTGTGGGCTTCCTCTGTGGGTGTGGCCCCACCTGCTGCGGCAGCCGTTTTGTGACTGTACCACAGTCCCAATGACGCCCGGTGGCTCAAAGAAAAGTTGGGGGACCCCTGAGCCGCAGGCGGACGACGACCCCCGGCTCTCACCTTGGACGGGCTGCTGCTGAAGTAGTAGAATATCTTCTCGCGCGGAGAGAGCACGGACTCGTTTTTGTGAGGGGAGATGTAAATCGGGTGGTTCTGGGACAGCTGGATTTTGCGTGGAGAGCTGCTTCTCACGAACGGGTACGGAGACAGGGGGGGAGCTTCACCCTGTGGAGGGAAAGCCTTGAAATGAAATCTGCCCCCGTCGTCAGCAGAGAAACCCAGGGCAGAGGGTGTACTCGGGCCCTTCCACCTAAGGAAGTGTTATGAACGGCAGAGGGAGGCAGTGGCAAACTACCTCTGCTTCCCACTTGCCTTGAGAGGCCCTTGCTGGGGTTGCCGTAAGTTGTCTGTGACTTGCTGCCACGTTGCACATACGCGAGAACACAGTTTCTTAGGATGGATACAGACCACTTTTAACACTAGGAGCTAAATGTGGTGCTGGTAAGTAGCCAGGGGAATCCCTTTGGAGAAAGCACGCAGGGACAAATTGTAATCTTCACAGTCAAGGCTATCGTTCTAAAAACAACCCCTCTTCCAGAACTGCCAAGTAGACAGGATAAGGAAACCACCTGTATTTATAAGAGAAAGGTTATGGTCAACTTACTCCATTGGTCGGGGAATACTTCAGGGCAAAGTCTTTAATGCGGTCTGTGTAGACATTGTTATAAAACTGAATCAGGTCCCCTCGCTCTTCTTCCTCAATATCACTGTTAGCCCCGGTCAGACGGGTTGGAGTCGGGGGAGCACTACTGGGTTGGGGGACGGGTAATGTGCTGCTAGATCTCATCACCGGGCTGGAGTCTCTGCTTGCTACAAAAGGCACAACAAGGTTTTAAGACCAACCGGATTACCAGCTGTATTCCTTAAAATTCCTCTGAGAAAAGCATATCCTCGCACGTCCTTTTATCTGACATATTAAAACATCCCTCCACATGCTATCATAGTTCGACATCTTCTTTACTCTCCTGCCCACTGGATCTCAGATTGGCTCCCATCAGTCTCAAAACTCAACTGGTCCCTACTGCTTATTTTATTTATTTCATTAGATTTCTTAACCGCCCCTTCCCTGCTTACGTGGGGGCTCAGGGCGGTTTACGACAGCATAATTCAATGCAATTTTAAAACCAATTAAAGCTACAAGAATTCAATATTAAAACATTCAGCATACATATTTAAACACTTTTTAAAAAACCAAGACGGCATATCTAGCATTCGGATTATCATAGGGGGGAGGGAGCCAGGTAGATGGAAGGGAACCGTCGCTGGCCTCAACCAAAGGCCTGGCGGAACATCTCTGCCTCGCGTGCCCTGCGGAACTTTAATAGATCAGGCAGCGCACGGATGTCATTCAGCAGAGAGTTCCACCCGGCGGGGGCCAAGGCTGAGAAGGCCCTGGCCGAGGGCAGACGGATATCTTTGGGGCAGGGAACGACATATATAGTTAGTGAGGCTCTCTGCTTTAGAGTTTGTCTGCTTGATCGACAATAGCCCCTCACATACCTTTCTTATTTATCTTCATTAATGGATCTCCAAGGCAGCTTACTATTGCCAGAAAACAATAAGAGCCTCTACACGCTACACTATTGACTAAAACGATACGTGGCTTCATACAGAACACATCCTCTTGCTTGTCTTTCGGTGGTCAATAGGTCAACACATTCTCCTGTGCTCCTTTTACCTTTGGTGTCAATCCATTCCAATTTGTAGTTCAGTTACAATCACTTACTTCTGTCCTTACTCCTTCCGGTTGGAGAGTTCTGTTGACTGTCGCTGCTGCCTGAACGCCTTCGTCGCCGGCCCTTGATTAGGACACTTCGATACACCTTCAAAAAGACAACACTAATTTTAGCACACCTTGTTGTCCATCATGTCCCTGTGGCAGACAAAAATAGTGGCAGTGAAAAACAGGAACTTTTCTGCAATGTCCCATAAGTGATGGCATGCTCCCTCCATGGAGTTTTTACTCAGGGTTCTTCAAAAAAAAATCTTACTCTTTCAGCAAACATTTGGCAGAGCCAGTGCTTTTTTTTTTTTTTGGCAGAGATTTGGTTTAGGATTCTTAATCATTACTACTGTGCATTATCGCTTTACAGATACCTGTGTTTAATTGCTTTGAACTGCTAAGAAGAAAAGGATTTAAAAGAATTTAAATAAATATGTAATTGACAGCTGTATTTGGTCTGAAATGGTATTAATTCAGGGACAAAATCTGCTCACGTGGCTCTTAGCTTGTGGCTGGGTCCGATAGCAGCGCATGATGTTCTGAAACGAAGTGTCTTCTTTTGTGACCTAGAAATATGAGAGGGGAATCTGCTTGGTTTGTAAGTATTACTCTCTCATTCTTAAATCACAAGATCTCCCGCCATTTATATTATTTAGCTAAATGGGTGTGTTTCTTTTAAACTTTACCTTTGCTATTACATAAATTGCACACATTAACAGCTGGTCTAAGTGTCGGTCCATCATCAGTTCGGAGCACTGTACGAGGGAGAACTCAAAACACGTCCAGATCTTCTTCCTCAGATCATCTGAAATATCCAGTTTGAGACAAAGATCCCGCAGACGGACGCTCGCCAAATGGAACACCTGGTAGAGGGAAGGGAGACCACAAGGGCCAGTCAATCACTATGCTTTTTTAATCATCTGTTTCTCCAAAGAAAAGATGAAAATATCTTATTCATTATGAACAACACAGTAAATTAATATAATGGGGCTGCTAATCTACTGTGCGTGGACTGTATTACTTAACAAATCTATAGGTTTGTTAAATAATACAGCCTGGCTGGCTGGGCAGCGGTGTTCTGCTGTGTTCCGTGAAGAGCTACATTTTCTTTTCATTTTTATTATGTGTTATCTACTCTGTTGGCCCGAACAGTTGGGATTTTGGCTTTGTTTTGTTTCAAGGCAGCTGCCTTGGCGGGCTCAAGCGTCTTTTCTTTCCAAGATGTTTTTTTCTATGTCCACAGATAAGACACTGGGGTTCTGGCTGAGCTGAGAACAGTCCTGTGGCTCTCCTTTGCTGCCCAGAGTGTCTTATCTTATTTTTAGTTTTATTATCTCTGCCAGGTGTTTTGCTGACTGGTAGCTATATTGTTAAGAAGAGAGTCAGTTACAGGCAGTTGCTGTTTTGGCTCCCTAAATTCTTCTTAAAGTAGGCTTCAATAAGGCTGACGCCAACACAAATGCTGAAGTCCCTTGCTTTGAGAGCTGGGTATAAAGCCTGAGAAGGGTGGTGGTGGTAAATTCTGCCTTGTACGTGAGATACTGTTCCTTTGCATTCCTCCCCTTTGGGCTAAGAGTTTAACTTTTAATTTATTTCCTCTTTTTAAGCCATAGTTTTCAAGTTTTAATTTATGTTTTTAAAGCTGAGTTACCACCTCTGCGGCTAGTTAAAAAGCTGGTTAACGACCTGCTAGGGCGTTGTCTCAAGCAGGCTGGGAAACTCTTGAAAGCTGCGTGGGCCAGGGATGATACTGGAGAACTGCTGCCCGCCACACCCCCAGGCCTGCTGCTGTGGTAGCTGTTTTATAACAATTTTATAATAATCCTATAACGTAGGGCCCTTTTTGTAGCAGGAACTCCTTTGCATATTAGGCCACACACCCCTAATGTAGCCTATCCTCCAAGAGCTTACAGAGCTCTTCTCACAGGACTACTGTAAACTCTTGGAGGATTGGCTACATTAGGGGTGTGTCGCTTAATATGCAAAGGAGTACCTGCTACAAAAAGAGCTACAAAAAAACGGTTTAACTAAAACTTTAACATATAAGACCAACTTAGTCAAATCGGGGTCCCTCGATTTTTGTCCTTTCCTCGTACCACCATTTTTACTTTATTTTATTGCTTTACTATTTTACATTAATACTTATTTTATATTCAACTCCAGTCCGTACTGATACCTAACTCCAGCTAAATGTTACACTCTCCTTTTAAGGCTAGGATGGGAATCAAACGTAGATACCCCTTCGAAGAAGGAATATAATGCGTAACAAAAGAGAGCGGGCTAGAGGATTTCCTTGGGACAGGAACAAAAAATCGTTTCGATGTTTTGGATACGTCTGAAGAAGAGTTTCGGCAAGATAGTGATGAAGTGTTGGGGGAGAGCAGAGGCCCTAGGGCAGCAGCCAAGGGATGGAGCGAGCTGCCATTACACTGCTCTCTGTTAAATGATACAGATGCTGAAACAGGTGACCAGGAGTTGGAGGAGTGCACAGGACCTAGAGAAACAGTCACGGGAAGAAGTGAGCTAACATTACAATATTCTCTACCAGGTAATACGGATGTTGAAACAAGGGAAGATAACTTTAGTTTATTGGCAGCCCAAACGTATCTTATTGCAAGATTTCCTAATGAAATTTATGAAAAATCAGATGTGCTGACTTCTTACATCCTTCGCAATAAGAAGGGAGGGAAGGAAGCAACCAGCAGTCCCTTAAATCTCTGTCCATGTAAATACCCACAACTGGGAACCAAGTGGAGCCAACAAAACCTGATTTTTTTAAAACCAAGCGAAATTATTCTTGAAATCTTCCCTTATCAAGGCAGAGATATAAGCCGGCAGAACAAGTGACAGGCTAAAAGACACCTTAGCTATTTATTAGGAATGCCAACAAGGAAGATATTCATGGAGATTAGAATGCTCAAGCTGCCCGATGTGTCACCAATCAGTTTTGCTAATTTTCCACTCTAGATGTATTCCGCAATTATTGCAGTCCAAAACTTTTGAAATGAAGCCTTTTGGCCTGTGTATTAAAAGACATCGTAACTTCAAACTGGGTTCCCTTTTGGAGGACAGGGAAACAAGACCAAGGTGGGAGGCAAAGCAACCAGAGAGGAATCAGGCTTCGGCCCACCATTCAAGAGAAGATTTATGTAAATGCATAAAATCCTCAGATCTGATTTCCTTTTCTACAATTTCCGTTCCCTTTAACAGAGCCCTGGATTCAGCACTCTAGCTTCCAGACAGCCAAGATTTATATTTGCATTAACATATTCAAACATTTTTTCAAGAGCAAAAACCTCCTGCCCTGACATCAAAGACTAAGCTAAGTTCCCCAGGATATCTCAACGAGGTAGCTCTGCGGAGATGAAGGAGGGGAAGAGGGGGAGAACAGAGTCCTATATTGGTTAGCTGCAGCAACGTCTGGGACGGGTAGAGGATGGGACCTGGCTGGCTAGGAGGAAAATGGGGTGATAGGATAGGGTGCACTTTGTAGATTCAGGAAGGCACTTGGTTGTTGGGAGTACACGACTGAAGAGGCATTACAATAGCCTCCTAATCCAGGATAAGAAATGGTAGGAGGGGCCCTGACCTGGAAAGCCCAGGCAAGCCCGATCTCATCGGATCTCGGAAGCTAAGCAGGGCCAACCCTGGCAAGTACTTGGAAAGGCAACGTCCAAGGAATACCAGAGGCGGGACGCAGAGGCCACCTCTCTGCAAAACGTCAAAGCCCCCACTAGGGGTCGCCAGAAGTCTCCATGACTTCTAGGCAAGCACACAAACACACACACATTATATATATAAAGAATGGTAAGAACATAAGAGAAGCCAATGTTGGACCCAACGTTCTCTGTCACACAGTGTCCAAAAATACCAGGTGCCATCAGGAGGTCCAGCAGTGGGGCCAGGACACTAGAAGCCCTCCCACGGTTGCCCCCCCCCCCCAAGCACCAAGAATACAGAGTATCACTTGCCCCAGAGTTCCTATCTAGGAGAAGATTAAAACAGAGCTCAGTCCGTGAAGGTACTTGTTAACCTTGAGTACTGGGCATTAAAGCTCAGCCTCTGTGAACATTCACCCCAGGCTGAAGTTCACTCAGACCGGAAACTGTATGGATTTTGAACTGCCACCGGGGCAAGGCAAGATATTCCAGGAGGGGGAAATGCACGCTAGCATTTTCTGCGACCTGATTCAAGCCACGTTAACTGTGTAGCAACATGGTGACTTCCCGTGTGCTGGGTGTACCTTTCTAAAGAAGAGCGAGAGGGAGCCGGCCTTCCGGGATTTTGGCGGCTGCTTCGTCCGCTGGTCCCCGGGAAGAGTGATCTGTTGGACGGCAACCTGGCCTTGTAACTGCAGAGCTGCCCCAGCCATCTGCTGTGTGCTCAGGGTCCCGGTGAGGCTCTGTGCGCTGAGAGGCTGGATGGAGCTGGACAGCGGCTGGGCCTGCCCACTGACGTTGACCTGGACCGGGATGAAAGTGATCCCTCCATTTTCATTGGCAATGCCTACAAGAGCAAGCAGAAAGGAGAAATTAATGGGGGGGGGGGGGGGGCGGCAAACGCTTGAAGGCATTTGGATCAGTGAATGTATGTGTTCCTTTCAGTCTCTCTCTCTCTCTCTCTCTCTTCCCCCCCGCTATCTTTCCCTTCATAAGCTCCCCTGCACAGGGACCAGGTTGCTTCGCCCAACAGGAGAGCAGTTCTCTTGTCACAGCTGATTTCCAAAATAAATAATATATGGCCAATTTGCATCCTTTTGTTGATTCAGGGCATTCTCAATCCACTTTTCTCCACTGAAGCACGGAATCAAACTGGCATACAGTATTTTACCACCTTTTCCACACACATGCTTGTTATTATTTTGTAAATAGCCATGTAAATCGACAACTCAGCTGCTTATGATCAGTGTTAGCTTATGGAGACGTGGCTATTTGTCAGCAGTATATTAGCTTCCTCTAGTGGAAGCGGGACACCAGCACATGAAGTCTCCAAAGGACTCCTCCCACCCAGAGGCTGGAGTAGAAGTGGGAGGGATCTTGGGGAACACTCTGAGACGGGAACATCCTCAGTTTGCACCCGTTATTGGGAATGTTCCCTCTAAGCTGTGGAGTCTTGTGAGCAAAAATTCTACTTGGTGAGCGACAGGCATTAAAGCTGTGAGCGAGCGACTTGGCTGCTGCATCAATTAGTTTGCTCTGGAGCCATCCTTCCTGAGTGAAGACAAAAATGTATGAGCCGGAGGCTAAAAAACTGTGAGCCAGCTCACACTGACTCAGCTTAGAGGGAACACTGGTTACTGGTATCCCCAGCGCCTCCTTGACCATCTGGCCCTTTTACATGCCAAAGGGGTACAATCCCCAACTGGTGAAATGAGTCATTTCATCACAGCGAACTTTCAAAACAAGATAATTTTTAAAAATACATTCAGCTACTGGGTGCCTGCTTTTCTCCAATGCAGACCCAAATCAGCTTACAACATTCTCTTTTCCCATGAAGTAGGACAGGCTAAGAGAGCAAGAGAATGACTGACACAAGATCACCCAGTGATCATCCACAGTGGAGTGCCAGTGTTGTCTTAGGTCAGGAAGGACCAATGCTCTAAGCTGTGGAGTTTTGTGAGCAAAAAAATCTACTTTGTGAGCTACTGGAATTAAAGTCGTGAGTGTGAGATTTGGCTACTGCATAACTTAGTTTGCTCTGGAGCCATCCTTCCTAGGCTAAGACAAAAATCTGTGAGCCAGAGGCTAAAAAACTGTGAGCTAGCTCATACGAACTCAGCTTAGAGGGAACACTGGTGAGGACTTGAACCCAGTTCCCCCAGAGCCTAGTCCAACACTCCAATCAATATGGCTGCATATAGTCATTGTATTTGCCTCTGGAGCCAAGACGTAGCTTGCAGACTGGAAAGCCAAGGTTTGTTGACGGTCTTGCCTTGCCCCACTTCTCCTTGGCATTACAACCCAGCATTATAGCCCATTCTTAGAGGAACACAAAAGAGAATATAGCCAAAGGTGACTTCTTAAGCCAGTGCTCACAAGACTGAACAGAACAGGAACCAGTTGCGTGTGCCTACACCTGGCTACCCCTACATGCCTTGACTTTATCTGTGTTCCTTTGGGCCCATATCCCCACAATTCTCAGCCGACTGATGGCTCCGAGCACGATGGTAAGAGACAGCATTAACGCTTTCCTTACCTTGCACCGGTATCGTAACCGTCTGCCCATTGTTTGCTGTTACAGTTGCTGTTGCCACAGTTACTAGAGTCTGCCCATGCACTGGAGTGACCGGAATCGTATCTGGGGAGATGTTCTGCACAGGCACGGTACTGATCACAGGCGGCTGTGAGACCCTCACGGGGGTTCGAGTGCTGTCTGTGGGGGTGTCGTTATCGACGAACAGTCTTCTCCTGGTAGGGTTACCTGCAGGAGAACTGTATCTTTCATACAGTGTGGTTGGAGAAGATGCAAGTCCTGGAGGGATGGGAAGAGGAGAGAAAAAACAGGGAGGGAGAAAAAGGCATATAAGGAACAGCACCTCCAGTTAATCCCACGCAGGGATTCCAAACAAAACGATCTGGTGGTTGCCCAGAAACAGGGTTTTTTTTTTAACCTTGTCAATTTCATGCAATGGTTTGTTTTTACATGAATATAACTTTGCAAGGGGACTGCTGTGATTTTTATCAGGCAATTTGTCCTCAACTCTTTCCTCCAACATGCTCAGTACCAGCTACACATGGGTGCACGAGGAATTAATATGGGGCACAGTCCTCTCGGATAAATTGTTACAGCATAAAGTGACACCCAGATTCCACTCCGAGTATTAATAACACTTACCCTTTCCTAGTGCTCCACTTTCTACACGAACTTCACTTATCCTCCTAGGAGTTAAAGGAGAACCTGACACACTGTTCCCATCTGGCCTTTCAAAATAGTGAGGTGGCATTACCTAAAAAGAAAAAAAAAAGATTCCAACAGCTTTAATATTGGTCAGCCCCAATTATTTAGATTTGCTGCCTGTGGTCCAGCACGGTTGTCAGGGAAATACACTGCAGGCTTGCACACTCCCCCGTCTTCCTGTTCAGAGGTATCTCTCTCTCCTTTACAGCTTGCAGTAACCCCCAAGAAAGTCTGCGGCCAACCATGAACACCGGACTGCTGGCAAAACCTTTTCCCTACCTCCCCTGCACAGCCTTCTCTCCCCACCGTCGTGCAGTCTCTTTGCCCTGCCGCTGTCTCTTTGCCCCATTAGCTGCTTTCCAGAAGTAAGTGCCTGCTGCAAGCAAAGCCTTCTGAAAGTGCCATCCTGCAAAGAGGTAAAATTTGCAACTGCCCTGCCCATTCATGTGCGTTCTATGTGGGGTCTCCTACACTGCGGAATGGTCTGCCTGAAACGATCAGGCATGCTTCTATCATTCTGCAAAATGTGGAAAACAAGAATGTTTTTTTAGAGGGCTTTCCTGCAGAAGGAACAAAACTGTGGTGTAGTAGTTCAGCTCAGAATTTAATAGGAACAAAGTCCTTCCTAAACTGTCCTGTTGCCTCAAACATATATGTTTGCATGCTTTGCTTGGGTCCCCCCCCCCCCCCCCCCCCCCCTACAATTTCAGCCCAACTTCACTTTTTGTCTTACTAGGTATCCTTGCTGTCAGATCAGAACGTTACCATATTTTGTAACCCATTTAATTTTTTTTTTACCATAATATTTTATTGGATTTTAACTTAAAACATAACAAATAAATACAGGTTCTCAAACAACATCTTAACAATTTCTCATATATATGTCAGTGAGTATACAGACTTCCAATTTAACTTACCAAAATACTGATAGAGGTTTGCTAGCTTATTAATAACAATGAGTATTTTGCTGTACTAATCGCTTTCCAGTCAAAAGATTCAAAGGTTAATTTGTCCACAATTGGATACCATTTACCAGTTGGGTTCGTTAGTTCACATTCATTCTGATCACTCGTGTTAAAAATGGAAACAGTTTCTAATAAAAAAATATTCCCATACTTTAGATAGCCATAAATTAATTGTCGGAGGATGTTCGTCTTTCCATTTCTTAGCTATAACATTTTTTGCTGCTGTAAAGAGCAGATTTATCAGTTTTCTATGTTTGTTAGGAATGACACTCTCCGGCCACAGATTTAGCAACATTAGTCGAGGATCTAGGGGAACATCATATCCTACCAGTGTTAATATTTGAGATCTTACCTGGGACCAAAATTTGTAAATATGTCTACACGACCACCATGTGTTAGAAAGTCACCTTCTCACCACAAAGCTTCCAACATTGAGGCGATATAGTTGTGGACATGTGCGAGAGTTTGACCAGGGTTAGATACCACCGAGACATTACTTTAAAGGAAGTTTCAAGAATTTCTGCTGATTTAGATAGGGTAGCGTGCGATTTCCAAATTGAGGACCATTGTTCCTCAGTTAGCTGACTGTTGAGATCCGTACACCAAGCTTTTTGATAACTAAGATTTTTGTAACCCATTTAATGATACAACAAGAAGTATTTTTTTTTTAATCATTCTTGTAATCTGACTTAGGCCCCAATAAAAAGGGTATACTAGAAATGAAAATAATAAATATATAAACAAACAAGATATGGGGACAGGGAGATGAGGTGAGTAATATTAAAGCTATTGGCTTCTGGATAATATTAAAACATTGGGAACACAAATGGCTGTGTTCATGTCCCTCTGATCAGCAAGCAAAACCCCACTAGCTAGAACCTTAAGCATCAGACAGGTTAAGCAGCAATAGCCTAGCGCACTGGTTCCTAAAGTGGGCAATGCCGCCCCCTGAGGGTGCTGGAACAATCCCGGTGGGCGATCGGAGCCTTGGGTGCAATTGGGGGGTGTTGAATACAAATAAGGGGGGGGGGGGGGAAGCATAAAGAAAGAAGAGTCCAGAACCTATCTAAAGCAGCCTTTTGGCGGTAGGACAAATAGGTTTGG